TTGGGGGGGGGGGGGGGGGGGCTACGCCTCCCTGATCCTCCAAGCGGGCTTGTCTGAGCCGTCCGGAGAGCTCAGGGCCGATGCAGTGCGCGGGACTCAAACACAGACGGAGGGGCTAGGCTTTTTACCCTACTCCAGTACTCTCCTGTGGTCACTTACGACGATCGGTCTGACTGTACCGCCCCACGAGCGCTGGCTCAGCCGCGCGACCATGAAATGGCTCACGGATGCTATGCCACCTTGCTGTACCGCCTGAGCTAGACCGATTTCTTTGACGCTCCCCATCTAGTGTTCGCCAAAGAAGAATATTAACACGCGGCAAGGGCTTTAATGATCTACTCAAATTGGCTCTTTAGCCAATGGGCCTTCATGAAGCGGTTCACACATCGTGATCCGCGACATTGACTACCCCAGTTGGACAGACATGGAGTTTCATGGAGAGCCACCCCGCCACACATTGAAATGTAAAGTATCGGACCGAACTTATGAGATGGAGCTTCGGCTCCATGGAATTAGAGTCTCGGAGGTCCAGTAGAAGCAGAAGGCATTCTTGGGGCCTCGCCCGCGGGCAGCGACATAAAGAATGCAAAAAAATGAGGCCACCATGGTGGCTAACATTCTTCCCGGCCTGATAGATATGGATCAGTTCCCAAGCGGGAAAGCCTCAATTGCCATTCACGAGGCCACCTGGAACGAGGCGATATCAATTTCGGGTGAGCTAAGTAGCTCAACGATCTCTCCTCCTTATCCGGATACTGTAATTGGAATGAGAGGAATGGACTTGTACCACTACGTCCCCCAACTGACTCCCTCCCACAAACGCCTTCCCACCGCCTCTGCTGCCAACAGCGCAGCCAACTCTGGGGGCCGATTGTGATGCTGATACGAGTTGCGAACTTAGATCATGTCTCACATTTTGCCACACATAAAAACGGAGGACTTTGACGTCGAATTTTGGCCGGGCAGCCTGTCAAATTTGAACACCAGCAGTGTATCCTTCAGGAATGAACTCCCTCTGCTTGCCATTCCGCAAATGGGTTCTTCAATCGGGATTTATGGAGATAAAAATGCAGGTACATTGGGCGGGTCTATCACTTTGACCCACGGTGGGAGTGTTCCCCGAGGCTTCCTTACCAATTACCATGTCATCAGACCTTCAAAATCTAAACCCCCATCTGACAACGAACATATTCTCGAAGATCTCGATCGTTTCGGTTCGGCTCCCCCTCGGCTTCTGAATCAGAAGATAAGAATGGAATTCCTGGCTCCCACTGCTCAGCGGGCCGGTCAGCAAGGGAGGCAAGTGGGTGTCTCGATTCCGAGTGGCCCAACGACCTACCGCGGAGCTCCTGAGATAGCCTGTGTACCTTTGGAAGTCGCATCATCAGGGACAACCGCAAAATTTTGCCGTGATGCCAACAAGTGCATAGATCCAGCAAGAATACAGGGAAATATGGCCGACGTGGAAAATTCTCCAAATTACATATGTGTTGGGGCAATAGCCATCTGACTTTGGACACCCCTTCTCCTTTCCTAGTCGAACTAGTTAGCTAGGACAGAAATCTCATTATTTTTCCTCCCATCACAATATGGTTATTGAGAGCTCGGGGTTTAGAATGTCCGCTATGGGGCGATCTTTCTCACTTGTGATTGGCTTGGGTGCTGCCGATATCCAAACTTGGCGGCGCCACGGATCCACCTAGACCAAAGTTAATTGCTGGGCATTCATGGAGGTTACTGACCTCTGTAAATGTCTTGAGTCTGAACTCCAATACTGCGTTCTGAAATCCAGCTGCCTGCAAAAAAACTCTCTATAAAGAGCAGAGAGCATTGTCACTTTACTTCTTCATCAATCACCAAAGGCAGTCTTAATTTAGTACATCACTCCCAAATCACTTCAATCAGACCTTCATTTCGACTCGGATCATGTCTATCCGAGCTCCGAAACAGAACTTCCCCTCCTTGGACATTACGGCCAACGCGAAAGAACATGGCCTATCTCACCCTTTCTTCCCTCCTCACGGCGAAGCCGACCATCCCTATCCCAACCCGTTGGGGTTCCAGTCTAACAACGGCCAAGTCGGCCGCCCAGGCCACCCCTATCCGTCTCCGTGGGCCCATGCCGGCGACAAAGACCAAGGTGAGGAAGCCAATAAGAAAACTGGTGATGTGTCCGCTTCTCGCAAGCCACACCAACGCCCAGATCCTGCGGGAGGTCATCCACCATACACTTTTCCGGGCTACGCTCAGCAGCCACACATCTACCCGGGCCCTCTTCCATGGCATCCGCCAAATGCCTATTATGGCCTAACTGAGGGTAGAAAGCCCCGCCATTCCCACTGGGATGATGACAAACCTAAGCCATCCCCTTGCAGGTCGTACCACTATCCTGGACCAGCTGATGGCGACAGACCCCACAGTATCCAGACGTGCCCCGCGGCGACAGATCTGTCTCTCCCAATAGGGAGACGGCGACAATCAGCAGCCGCTTTCCAGCAGCCAGCAAGTTGGACCTGGTAGCAGAGGATGGAGTTAGCACGGCCAGCCAAATTTCGGTGGCCCTTCCTTTGGCGGCTTCAGACGAGGGGGCTTTGATGCTTCTCACGCGCCCCATATTACCTGGGCATTCACTCAACAACCGCCCTACATATTCCCGTCCACTGGACCTGCCAAATACACGCCCCAAGGTTGATGTATTTGACACCGCCGAGACATTTGTGATTCACGCCCCGGCGTGAAAAAGGAAGACATTGAGATCAAATGGGATCCGAATATGGTTGAACTCAGCATCACCGGGGTGATCAACCGACCTGGCTCTGAGGACCTGGTCGTGATGATTGCGCTGGATGAGCGGAAGGTTGGGGGCGTTTGGGCGCAAGGTGCCATTGGGCCGTCGGGCAAATCCGCCAAAGATAGATGGAGATTCAATTTCGGCCAAATTAGAGGATGGGGTTATTGTTGTTGAGGAGCCGGATGATGTTGAAGTTATGAAGGTTGACGTTGAGTGATTGGATATTTGAGGCCGCACGCGGCCCCTACGTAGATGAAACAGTAAATGTACAAATATTCTGGGCCGTAGTCTTCGTCCGTTTACACAGAATATGTGTTGCATACCTAGTGTGGACCTGCACTTACGATACCTCGCTTTTACGAAAATTTCATTGTGTTTCAATTAGCTCTTCATACATATGTACCTAGGTAGGCTTTACTGTAGTTCTTATAAATCTAATATACATATTTTCGACCTCCATGCTCAACCCAATCAGTCGTCCTGCTTCTCACAATGTTGACCACACATATAGGGCACCGATATTTTTATTGATAGGCGGATCCTGGTTCAGCCGCACAGTCATGAAGAAGAGCTCAAACCGAAGGGCCAATGATTCGGCGCTCTGTTTGCACCTCAGGCGATAGACGTTTCAAAGACGAATCAAGCTCGTCGGCAGCCTGAGCCAGAACATCGTCGGTCAACGGATCTAGTGCATCTAGGATGAATAAAACGCGCGAGGTATTGTCGGTCAAGGCAGTCCGTGGGCCCTGTCTCCAATTCCAGCGACGACAAGTGATGCCACTATCGTCACACCAAACCGGTTCACCTGGAGCTGCAAGCTCCGTTTGAGGCTCCCCGCCAGAAAAGGTTTCGAACTTCTCAGTACCCGTGGCGCGGACAAGGAAAGGTGATCCATCGTATTTGTCAAGGTCCTCGCCTCCAAATGGGATCTGATACTTGACGGAGATTGCATTGTAGATGTCGGTCAGCCGGTTAACTCGTGGCAAGCCATCCTGCGCGCGGCGAGTCAAAGCCTCGAGGCTGTTGCGTGTTTTTTGGGGCTTGGCTCCAAAGCCTTTGTATGCTTCGCGCCATGCAGCGATGTGTGGAAGTTCGGTAACGGGACAATTGGACAACTTGTCCTTGACAGAAGTTTCAGCCTCCCTCAAAAGGGCCTCGCTGAAATCATCGCTTGGGCCTGGAGGAATACCCTCTACCACCATCAAGAGGGCGCGGTAATCCGGCCGCAACTGGAAGATTTCTGGAGCTACATGCGCAGCCTGCAGCAGTTTTTGTGCCACTTGTGTCCCGCCCATGACTGAGAATGAAGCAAAGGTGCTGAAGGTGCGCCTGATTATTGCGAACTGCGTGCAAGAGAATAACGTAGGCGAGGAAATATTGGAATAATGCAAAGACAATGGAGCAAAAAAGGTGCGGAGGTTAGCCTAATATACCTACAGTAAATGTGGGGCAGATCCTAAGGCGAACCAACTATTCCTTCTTAATGTAGGCTTATTTTGCATACACAAACAGTGATTGGGTGGATTCTCAGAGCACTTTAGCCCTCCTCCCTTCAATTTCCTAGGCGGGAAATAGTGGACACAATGTTGTTATCACAATGTGGCTTCAGGGCTTTGGTGGCAATATTGACTTCCCAAAATGGTAGTTGATGGGAGTGGGTCAATCAAAATTAAATACTGGTATCTGATTGGCTGCATCAAGGAACCTTATTTGGTTCCAGGGTTCCAAGGTTCGACAAGGTAATGCGCCGTGGTGAATCACTGGGCTGTACAGCATAACCCCAGGGCTCATGCGACTTCGATGTTGCTACATAAATGTTTAAACAATGACTACTGGCCTTCACAAAGATACATGCCCGTATAATATCTGCCAACTATTGCAATTCATCCTATTCCGTCAGATAATTCGAGCTCAATGCATTCATTATATTTCACGATTACTAAATTAATATAGTGGGTTCAGCCACGAGGCACCTTATGTCAACAACGGTCTCATCACCTCTACCATCAATTCAGCTGCCTTACCATGTAGTAGATACCTTTCAACATATCCCCAGAAGAGGTGTTCATTCCATTAAATATCCATCCATCTCATCACTAATTAGTCGTAAAGTACTACTAGCTATTACCAAGAACTTGTCTTTTCCAACAAAACTCTTCCCCTCTTTCTACCCTTCAGCCCGGTAGACCACAACAGTTGTGGAACCCAAATATCCCGCTAAAGCTGCAAGTTACCTTCCATCCTTCACTGAGGTCTCTCCGGGTAAGCGTCATACAACCCATCAGCAACGCGAATTTTGCTGAAAGATGCTTCGCCCTCACCATTCTGGAAGAAGCGAATCTCAGTCGAGTTTTCGTACCAAGGGCTGACAAAGAGTTAGTTTACGTTCGGTGAAAAGTGCAAGCAAAAGGATAAGAGAAACATACCGGACCCAAGTAGAGAGAACAAAGCGAGAGTTGGCATAAACCTCCAGGACAGAGTTGTCGACCACAACAGTCAGGCTTAGAGTCTCAATACGGTCCTTCCCAACTCCACCAAATTGAGAAGTCTGCGCATTGCTTCCCGATGCACTGTTAGGCTTGGGGTTACTTGAAACGTGTTCACCAAACTCGCCGCTGAGTCCGCCGAGTCCGTCGAGGCCGGTAAGGCCGCCGTGACCGCCGTGACCGCTCTGGGTGCCACAGCGATCGTTGATGTCAAATAGACGAAGACGGCCAGATTCCGGTGACCTATCAATGCCGGTGGTCGTGTCTGCAGCGGCACTCGTTTCTGAACGATCAATCATGATGGACTCGTTAGAGAACTGATAATAGATGGTGGTCGACTCGAACTCGGATGCCAGAATCTGGAAGCCGGCCTGCAGGGTTGATGCACGTGCATTGAAGTCAATCTCAGCCTCGAGAACGAAGAACCTGCTCTCGGGGGAGCGACCGAAGGGAATGACACCAGCATTGGTAATAGTCCGGTCTGGCTCGCTGAAGCCAGGGGCAGAAGTCATAGCGCCATAGGTCTCACGCGCGATATCAATTCCGAGCGTTTCGAGTTCAACACACTTGCCAGTTGAGCGGGCGTTACTGGCCACACGCCAGGAGCCAGTCTCTTGCGCGAGCTCGTTGTTGACGACGCTTGGGATAGCTCTGATGTACAACTCGCGGGCAGTCAACAAAGTGTTCTGCCATCCTTGCTGCGCAGCTGGGAAGCCCTTAACTCCTCCGAAAACATCTCCAGTCAGCCACACATAGCTGATGAAACGATCAGGGGCGCCGCTGGCACTAGACGCTTGGGAAGTCGCAGGTAGGACCTTGCCGGCGGCTGCATAGGACGCCAAGCCCCAGTCGAATACACCAACCATATCGGGTGTGAATGTTACGTTTTCACCATTGGTGTTCGCAATTGCTCCTGCCGCCCAAATCATGGCATGTAGCGAGGAGACAGAGTCCTGGATGGGTTCATACGAACTCTCCACCGCAATGGTCATAAAGGGGTCGCCGTTGTAGCTGTATCCCTCTCTGGTGAGACCGACGACGTTGCTAGTCTCGAAATTGTAGCCAAAGACCTTAGACCAATCCCCATTTCCCCATGTCGAGTTGGCAGGCTCATTGTACCATTCTCCAAGATACTCCCACTGCAGGAAGTCGGGACTCGTGTTCTGGTAGAGGAACATTCCAGGTCCGACGTCTTTAATGCCACCAGAAACGATTGTGTACCAAGTCCCTGGAGCACTACCCAGGGATTGATCAAGTGCAGAATTTTGGAAAACGTAGGGGTCGCGGAAAGCGGTAACCTCCAGGCCTGCTGGGGGCTCAGGAATAACGGGCGGATTGTCTAGCTTGGTGAAGTTCTTGCCCCCGTCATAGGTTACCGCCAGAGATTGCGATTCACTTCCTCGGGTGTAAGGAAGGGTCCAATGGATCGGCAATGCCGACACAGAGGTGTATAAGAGCGTCGGCTTGCCGTCGATTCCACTAGGGATGGTAGAGCCATCAAAAACAGCAAGGGGGTCGTTGGCACCGCCCGCGACAATTGAATAGTTGCCGTTCGGTCTCACATCGTAATAATGGACAAGATCATGCGTCAAAACCATGGCAATGCCGGTACCATTATGGAGGAAGCCGACGTGGAAGAGGCCTGTTTCAGGATCACTGTAGTGCCCGCATGGGTCACCGATCTGGCCGTGGGGTGGGAGGACATGGGTATGCGGCCTCCAGGTATCAAACAAAGAGAGCTCGGGGAGAGTCGAGAGGTCCGGGGGTGGAGCATTGTAGTCTTGAGCAGTGGCACCTGCCCAGATCGTGGCCAAAACAGATGCTGTCGTTGTAGCCTTCATGATGATGAGAGAGCTGGGTGAGTATATACCGCAAGGAATAGCTTCGTTCACAGGAATTGAAGTGAAATTTGTACTCTATATATACTAGGACGGTTTTCCCTCATCAACTGGGCAATGTTATTGCAACAAAGATAATGAACATTCTAACCCCCTAGAACATTGCGTGCTAGGGTACCCCTGAGGAAGGAGCGATACATTTTATTGGACTGAGAATACAGACACATCCAGGGGTGGCTGATCATGGAATGCAACTTTATTTCTCAACGCCTTCATTCTTCGGAAATATGAAACGACTAGCCAGTAAAACCTCGCCAAACTTATGTACTTAATGTAACGGGATCAATGAGCAAATGCAAAAGGAATGCGAGCAAATTTTAGTACATATGTATGTAGGTATATCATATTCTTAGGCAACCTTACGCAGTTTTTTTACCAGGATTGATATGTTTACCTTTCGTCTGTGTTATAAACATGCCCTGAACTGCCCTCGATATGCAGGACACAGGCCAATATCCCCCACGTGTGATTTCTTTACTGTGTATTGGTCAATTTTGGGTCTCCGCGTCTTCGCTGCGTGCTTAATTGATATATGCATAATCTAGATACCCGTTTTCCCCATATGTATCGTACGTATAGACTCTCTTCTAACCTTCGGAAGCTCTTTCATCACCTATCGTATTTCCTTTTCTATTTCCCTACAGGGTGATATAGGACTAGATAGTTATAATTGTACATCCTAATTTAGTATTACAGTAGAACCTAGGTATTCACAACAAACTAATTGAAGTACAACAAAGGTTCACTATATCTGGTGATCGTCAAATCCAAGCTCCATGCATCGCATATGTATATCCGGTTTGTTGATTATAGACACTAATTACTATAGAGCATGTATGTGGATAAATCAATCTGCAAAGGCAATACTATTAAAAGAATTGTATACTAGAGAAAAGTGGATTGAAATTCTCTAATTTCTTCACACATAGAAAGAAGCCTATTTATACGCTTCTTCTTCGTATTATATTATAATAGATCAGAAAGGAATCAATAAGAAACAGTAAGAATGAATGAAAAAGGTGTAAAAGAGCGGCACATCGGAGCGCTTACAGCGTATGATGATTTCTTTGTAGGTTATTGTGCGATATCGCTGGTCCTCGACTGTATGTCAAGTCGGAGGCGCCAACATACGAGGTGAGTCGCCCCGGTCTCTTTGCTGCTGAGATAAAGAAAAACTTCCGAGGTCTAGCAGAACGATTATTTAACAGATGCCTTTACCGGAATGCTGGTTGTCTACTGCGTTGATGTGGTCCTGCTTATTCTGTTGCATCTTCAGCAGGCTAACACCAAACCTGAACGACAACAAGGTGTCGATATTGAGCCCGAGCCTCGTAATGGTAATCCATACATGTGAGGGATGTAGAAGAAGAATCCACCTACGCGACAGAGCCTCTGGATTAAGCAGAGTGGGAGAAGAGGAGCCTCTGTTACTATCTTTGATTGGTATTATATATCCTTTAATTTCGCCGGCAATGGGAAACCTTATTGCCTATAGTATTGGATTCCCTACTTTGGAGTATGGGAGTCTTGCCAACTATAATTCGACATCGCTTGCGGCACGCATGCTTCGCGACATCGGGATAGTATAGCCAAGATGAACGTTGATTCTTAATATCACGCATTCTATCCCTTCTCAATCACGATCACCCCAAATAATTGCCCCACACTTTCATCTACATACTGTAGGCCATTCTGTAGATCTCATAAACACGAGATAATTACTGGCGGCAAGGTCCTGGTTATCTTGTGGGAATAGAAGTAAAAGCTAAGGTTAGGCAAAGGAATAGCCCTACGTCCAATCTCACCCTCAAGTTAAGCGGTCAAAAGAAGACAAAATCCCCTTGGTTTATCCTATTTACCACGCGTCGAGCCTGCCGCCTGCTCCGCTTCAGCCGACGCCATATTGTCGGCATCGGGCCTTGGCTGTCCGTTCTTGATACTTTTCCACTCCAGCGTCGCCGCACCCAGTACTGCCAGACAAGAAATAATCAAACCTACCTGAAACACCTTCCGCAGCGTTTCGTTGTAAGAGTGGAGGACCGTGTCGTGCAGATGCGCCGGCATTACATTCACCAGCTCCGTGACACCCCCAGAGGTGACAAGGCCGGGGTTGAACCCCGGTAGCCCGGAAAGTCTCTTCACGAGCTGATTAGCCAGGATATTCTCCCCGAGCGAGACAAAGACGGCTGCACCGACGAGCTGACCGAACAGCATCAGTGCTAGCCCCGCTGGCACATCGGGCTTTGGGAGGACGGTCTGCGCAGCGAGGTTGGGGACTTGGAAACACAAACCAAGACCGATTCCGTAGGTGATCTGATACCCGATCCACTTTCCCTCCCCGGTGTCCACCTAGAAGGTAGTGAGGAGACCGGCTCCGACGGACATGATGCAGGATCCGATGATCGCTAGTGGGGTGTAATATCCGATCTTGGAGTTTGTGATTCCACCACCGATTGAGCCGACGATCATTGATATCATCATCGGTACCAGGCGTATACCGGATTCCACGGCGGAACTGCCCTTGATGGATTGGAACCAGATTGGGAGGAAGTACACTATGACTGAAGTCAGTAACAGGCGATAATAGTTAATAGTGTAGTTCTGTTACCAAATATATAGTTTCCAGATCCGACGTAGAGTGTCTGCCAGAATCCTAAAATGATGCTACGCTGCGAAACAATGCGCACTAGAAGTGTCGCTATCTTTGGAAGGAAGACCTAGACGGCGATAAAAGAAGGAAGTAATAGGCCTATAAGAATCAGGCAAGCCACGACGCGGCCACTATTCCACTACAAAATGTCAGTTGTGGTTGAAAATAATAGTGCACATGACTTACAGCATAGGTCTGGCCTCCCCACTAGAGCGCCAATACGAGACAGACCACACTAGAGATCAGAAGTGTAGTTCCGAGGAAATCCAGTTGTAGCAGCCTATCAACCTAGGAGACTTTCGTTGTATCTTAGTTGCGGACCTTAAGGCAGAAGGCAATAGACACCATCGCGGCACCACCCATTGGCAGATTCACGTAGAAGCACCATCTCCATATTACGTTTGATACAAATGCGCCGCCAACCAAGGGGCCAACAACGGAGGCAATTCCGAAAAGGGCGCCGAACAGCCCTTAAATTTGTGGACGCTTCTAGAGAGGCACGGAATGGATGATACACATTATCTAGAGCAGTCTGTTAGCGATTAGTATAAAGGGCAGAGTACTAGAGTCAACTCACAGTTCCAGCGAAGATACCAGCAGCGCCGACTCCGCAGATTGCTCTTCCGATTATAAAGGCCTTTAAACTCGGAGCCGCCCCGCATATAGCAGAGGCAACCTCAAACACTAGAATACTGGCAAGGAAGACGATCCTAACGGAAAAGAGCTTGTACAGCTTACCAAACAAGAGCTGGAATGCGCAGCATGTCAACAAGTAGGCGCTTCCGTACCAGCCAACATCATCGAATAAGTTGAATTCATCGGTGATTTTGGGTATGGCCTATCATTTCGTCTAAATTAGGGCTAGAATTGGACCGAATCCAATGTGAGATGTTTATACCGTCGAGATGATTGTTCTGTCCAGCGCGACCAGGAACATGGCGACAAAAGCTGAGACGATATTAGACAGACAATCCTAACGGTGGAATGGGTCTCGCCCGGGCCCGGAGGGCGTGGAGGGCCTCCAGCTTTCGATGGTCCTCCGTCCTTGAATTCTGCATCAGTTGTCGTCTCGCTATTTTCGTTCATAAACTCTGAAGCACCTAGGGTCGCCGATTTGCTGCTGTCGGAGGTGGAAGTGCGTGGTGGGGGCATTGTGAGGTATTCGTAGCTTTACTAGCCAAGATGCGAGCGACCGGTTATTAATGCACGAGAGGTACTCTTCCAGGCCATAAGGAGGAAACTGTCTATATTTAAAGGAGCCCAAATGGAAACACATGGTTGGGAATTTCGCGTTTCCCAAAGCATGATCAACAGGATGGTCGGGGGTTAGAAAGTGCGAGGGTTAGCAAGTGGCGTGTGTTTCGGAGCTCATAAAACCCGACTTCCCCCTTCCCTTTCCTTCTTCCCCCGAGCAATCCGGGCTTCGGAATCCGGGCTCAATTAGCAACCTTTCTGCTGTAACAGGATCGATATTCTCGTGCCATGATGACGCCAATCTCTCCATCCGAACAGACAGGCACCGTCAACGCCCGGCGCGTGCTAGCGTGCGTGCTATGTCAGCAACGCAAAGTCCGGTGTGATCGTACATTCCCTTGCGCCAACTGTGTACGTGCCGGCGAGGAGTGCGAGCAAGCAACTCGTCAGCGACGTCGGAGGTTTCCCGAGAGAGAGCTACTAGCGCGCCTACGGCACTATGAGAGCCTGCTTCGCAAGCATAACATCAAGTTCGATCCTCTCCACACGCCTACTACAGAGCGTAGGTCTCCCAGTGAGGATGGGCGAGATGGAATTGCAGACTGTCCCCAGTCGGAACGTATACTCTCTGACCCGGATTCCCGCCTGTCGAGAGAAAAGACAGCAGTCCAGTCTAAATCTTTGTACGAGGCTCTGCCCTGTTCTTCTGGTGAAAGCGTACGGGCATACTTTGGAATGACTAATCGTGTAGTAGGAATATTTGGCATGCAATGAGTCAAAAGGTATGTCGGCCATTCGAGCGATCGCAGGGCTCACTGACAATCGGGAAAGACAGGAGATCCTAAGGACGATGACGGAAATGACGGCCAAGACGATGAAAACGACACTGGGTTCCTACACGACAACGATGATATGCGCCACGCCGTGATCAAGAAGGCATGGAACCATAGGTTTCAAGGCAAAAGCAATGACCACCTTTTATTCGGTTCACCAGTATGGGATGTCGATGGCCTTTCTGCTTTGCATCCAACCCAGGTACAGATCTTCAGGCTCTGGCAGATCTACTTGGACAATGTCAATCCGCTTCTCAAAGTCACTCATACACCCACCCTTCAAACACGTATCATTGATGCTGTTGGCGATATCGCTAATGTCAGTCCCACATTGGAAGCATTGATGTTTAGTATCTACTGTGTAACCGTCCTGAGTCTCACAAATGATCAATGCGGTGCCTTATTCGGATCTCCCAAAAAGGATCTCTTGACAGTCTATCAGTCTGCATGCCGGCAATCGCTATGGCATTGTGGTATTCTACGCTCCAGCGACCGGGAGTGTTTGACCGCATTGTATCTGTACCTAGTAGGTAGCTCAAAGCGATTTATCTGCACTAACTGATTTTTGCAGGTGTCGATCAGACCGGACACAGACCCTGCCTCTCTCTCATCTATGCTTAGCGTTGCTATCCGAATCTCTCAGCGGATAGGGATTCACAACGAGTCAACGTACGGTAAATGTTCCGCTCTAGAGGCAGAGATGCGTCGAAGACTGTGGTGGTCGCTCATCATCTTCGACAATCGTATCTGTGAGATGTCCGATTATAAGACCGCGTCGCTGGCTCCTACCTGGGACTGCCAGGTTCCTCTCAATGTGAGTGACTTCGAGCTTCAGCCAGACATTAAAGCCCCACCTGCACCAAACAACAGACCAACAGAGATGCTCTTCGCTGTTGTGCGCAGTGAGCTCTCCGACTTTGTCCGTCACAGCGCCTTTCACCTCGATTTCACCAATCCAGTTTTGAACAAGACTGCCCCTCAATCCACCAACATAGACGAGGCGGAGCGGCTTGTGGCGCTGGAGAAGACAATAGAGGAAAAATACTTGGCATTGTGCAATCCAGAAAACCCACTGCACTTCATGACGATGTGGACAACGCGGGGACACCTAGCCAAGAATCGTCTGTTGCAACACTACTCTAAACACTTGACGGCCTCCGTGGAGCAGACAGATACCCAGAGCAACGTCGGCATTTCCCACGCGCTGCGAATGCTGGAGTGTGATACCAACCTCTTGAGGTCGCCTATCATCAAAGGATATCTGTGGCTTGTTGACTTCCACTTCCCCTTCCCCGCGTACATTCACCTTCTGCAGGATTTGAAGAAGAGGCCCGTCGAAGAGCATGCAGACCGGGCGTGGGAGGTGATGAGCAAGAACTACGAGGTCCGCATCATGGATGCGCAGGAGGAAGACCGGCCATTTTTCATCGTCTTCTCTCGGATTGTCTTTCAGGCTTGGGAGGCGCGTGAAATTATAGCCAGACAACAGGAGACGCCCTTGATACCTCCCCTAATTGTGTCGGATATCCGGAAGAAAGTGATGCAGATGATGTCGAATTTCGCACAGGATGTAGACACGGTGCATCCTGGTGACGCCTCGGGTGTCAATGCCAATGTGGACAACCTGTCAATGCCTATGCAAATGGATTTCAATGTACCGGGGACGTCTTATGGCACTGGAGGGGAGGTGCCTACGAGTTTGGGACAGTGGGTATACCCTGAGGCGCTTGGGCAAAGCTCCACTGACGTGGATGCGAATCACTTTATTTGGAGCACGATGGACTGGAATATGTTGCATACACGCAGTGGTTGAGGGTGTTTTAGGCAGCAGCAATTGTATGTCGGTTGTTATGCCCGTTACGATTTCTAATCTGAGTTGAGAAATGGTAATAATCGCTTGGAGTGGAGTATACAATGTGCGATATAGTAGCGAGCAAATAGAATAAACCGTATAGAGGACTTCTCAGTGTATAACCATCGATGTATAATGGCTACCAGAGCACATTGCCGTGCAGAGAGACGTTCATTTAATATGAATATTTCTAGCTATTGGAAACAAATCAAAATCTATTCGTAGTCGCTGTCCTCTTCAGTACTAGAATCTTCGGCCTGCCCTGAACACGATATCAGGAAGCGGCGATACTCCCATATGTCTCCGCCAGTCCAGAGACATGCTGCGTCTGTGGAATGAAACTCCCTGCCTGGACCGAGCGGTGTCGAACTTGGTCCCACAAGCCCAGTTGTGAGTACGTTGCAACGAGAAGAATTCCACTATCAGCCAAAATTAAGGAAAGAGTTCTGTGCTCCTGCGGAGAGGGCAGTCCCAACTGATTTCATGCCCAACTCTCCCGCATGGAAGTTTTGGCCAAGCACGCTGTGCGGACGGCCATTTCTCCAGTGTTTCCGTCAGTGCTTGTTGGTAAGCCCATTGATCTTTCTAAACTTGCCAGTGTTAGATTCTGCGAATTTCTGTGCGAGGCACAAGCAAGACGACGGTTCGGATTTGAATACTTGTCCACGTTGCCGCAAGGCACAGAACTGCTCGAAAGACTGTCAAAGGCCCATTAGAAGAAACATGAGCAGGTCTGCAAAGAAGTTGGAAACTGATTCGGAAGGAAGAATTTCTCAAGCAATGGAATAGCCACACAATTTTACTTATTCTTTGCCTACAGTAGACATGTAAAATGATTTATCTGCGCTCGCTCAAGAAGCAACCAAAAGAAAAAGAGGAAAAGGATATATAATCTTAGGGCTGACTACCTCTGGAGGTTTTCATCCCTCTGTTGTTGACGTCCTCGGGCTGATAAGGAGATCCTTATCACCTTCTCGATAAGGCAAAAATTTCGGATTTGAGCTTCGTCCCTGCTCAACATTCTTTGCGATACCCCTCAAAATGCCCGAAAAGGTGCGTACGGTGTTCGCAGACTCGGACGATGAGAATATTTTAAAGCACAAGCTCTCATCTCAACCTACGGAAGAGCCCGGGCGCAAGAAGAATAGAAGCAAGAAGCGCAAGCTCGATGAGTACGCACCCTCCACACCCGCCGATCAAGATGAACCGGGGGAAATCCCTGCACCTGCCAAGCAGGTACAAACAGCAGTCTCCGTAACGAAAATTCAGCCAGCGAAAGCATCTGAAACAAATGGCCCACCAGCAACGAAATCGAACCCGAAATCGAAGTCGAGACCCTTCACCGATACCAAAACCAACTTTACACCCTTACGAGAAAAGGCCAAAGCCCTCCTCGAAACGCGACGGAAGCTCCCCGTATTTGGAAATGCCGATTTGATCCGTCATCTACTACGGGAACAAGATGTGATGCTCTTGGTCGGTGAGACGGGTAGCGGAAAGAGCACGCAGATCCCGCAGTTCCTGGTAGACGAATTCTGGTGTCGGCCCGTTCCTACGCAAACCACACGGGATGGAAAGACCGAAAAGAAAGTGGTCGGAGGATGCATCGCTATAACGCAGCCGAGACGAGTCGCTGCCATTTCGCTGGCGCGCCGTGTAGCTGAGGAGATGGGTACACCGCTTGGATCGCACTCGCCTGCCAGCAAGGTTGGCTACTCCGTGCGATTTGATACGTCGACATCGCCTAGTACGCGGGTCAAGTTCTTGACGGAGGGAATGCTGCTCCAGGAGATGTTGCACGATCCAAACCTGACTAAGTACAGCGCCATCGTTGTCGATGAGGTGCACGAACGAGGAATCAATGTGGATCTGACACTTGGATTCCTGCGTAATCTTGTATCTGGAAAGAAAGAGGGCCGGGGTGGTGTGCCGCTCAAGGTGGTTGTCATGAGTGCTACGGCTGATATGGAGAGCCTTACGGACTTCTTCAAACAAGGATTCAAACAAACGGCGCCAGCACAGAAGGCTATACAGGCTGCCGAGGCCGAGGCCGATAAAATGGATACTTCAACTCCGAAGGATATTTCCGTCTGCCACATTAAGGGTCGACAATTCCCAGTCAAAACTATCTACTCGCCCGCACCAGTACATGACTTCGTGGATGCAGCGCTCAAAGTCATCTTTCAGATTCACCAGAAGGAACCAATGCCGGGTGATATCCTTGTGTTTCTGACTGGTCAGGAAACCGTCGAGGCCTTGGAACACCTGGTCAATGAGTATGCCATAGGCATGGACCCATCGCTTCCTAAAATTTTGGTTCTACCTTTGTTCGCCGCGTTACCACAGGCTGCGCAGCAAAGGGTCTTCGCCCCTGCTCCACCAAGAACACGCAAGATTGTACTATCCACTAATATTGCTGAGACTTCCGTCACTGTGTCTGGTGTACGGCACGTGATTGACTGCGGCAAAGCAAAGATCAAGCAGTTCCGCACTCGCCTTGGTCTTGACTCACTGCTCGTGAAGCCTATCTCCAAGTCAGCCGCCATCCAGCGAAAGGGTCGAGCTGGTCGTGAGGCCCCTGGCCAATGTTTCCGGCTATACACTGAGAAAGACTATCTGGCCTTAGATGAGACAAACACGCCCGAGATTCTGCGCTGTGATCTAAGCCAAGCCCTGCTGAATATGAAGGCGCGTGGCGTTGATGACATTGTTGGATTCCCATTCCTGACCCGCCCACCACGCGAAGCGCTCGAGAAAGCTCTTCTGCAGTTATTGAACATTAATGCCCTTGAGGATGATGGAAAGATCAGCGCCGTCGGTCTACACATTGCCAAGCTGCCCTTGACTCCAACTCTAGGACGTGTCCTGTTGGCAGCTGCCGAGAACGGGTCTGAATGCTTGCTCGATGTCATTGATATTATCTCATGTCTGAGTGTGGAGAACATCTTCCTGAATACCACCTCAGAAGAGAAGAAGGAAGCAGCAGAGGCAGCCCGTCGCGATTTATACCGGCGCGAGGGTGATCACCTCACCATGCTGACGACTGTACGTGTGTATGCCGCTGAACAAGCCGACCGCAAGGCATGGGCAGAGCGACACCTGGTATCCCACCGTGCCATGCAATCAGTCATGGTGAGTATTGCATAATTTGGCGGCACCAGTCATATAAAACTAACGAAAAATACACCAGGACGTCCGCAAACAACTCCGCACCCAATGCCGACAGGCCAAGCTGCTCACCAATGAAGCTTTGAACAATACCTCATTACACGACCCATCGCCCGTCCTCATTCTCCAGAGTTTCCTCGCCGGATTCGCGACCAACACGGCTCGCCTTGTGCCCGATGGCAGCTATCGTACGATCGTTGGGAACCAAACCGTCGCCATTCACCCGTCAAGCGTACTTTATGGCAAGAAGCTCGAGGCGATCATGTACAACGAATTCGTCTTCACCAACCGCAGTTACGCGCGTGGCGTCAGTGCAGTGCAGATGGATTGGGTGGGAGAGGCTTTGGCTGGGAAGGATTGATCATCGACTTGAGATGCTATATTATAGTAGACCAATATATACCCCGTCAGCGACGATACCAGTTAGACTGGCGTCTTTCACTTCTTTGATTATCTATCTGTCTGTTCCCATCTCGGTAGAAATCTAGTAACATCTCACGACCTCTTGAATGCCAGGCACTTGGGCCAAACGTGATTGACGACGTGGGGGAAGGAGGACACCTAGTCAGGGCACCGAGACATCGTTGTCTAGGATTGAAGAAGTACCAGCTTAAGCGGTGTAACTCCCATCAACCCAATGTCGTTTTCCAGTCGCGCCAAGTTTACGTTATACTTGATCTGCAGATCTGCAACTCTGCAACTCCGCAACTCTACAACCAAGCTGGAAATTACTCTACTCAAGCATCAGACATTGGGAAAAAGCACCCATTTCGCTCCGTTTGGCTTCAGCAAACGCAACCATCCAACAGGATTCCAAACCAAGGAGCCGGATGAGAACATAGGGCAACTCCCCAGGTGAGGGGTATTATTTAGTGTAGAAGCGAAACCACGCCATCATGGTGGTCTTCTTGGTCGTAGCATTGTTGTAAGGCTAATATCAAAGTACGGTGCAGTCGCTTTTCTTCAAAAGAATCATCATGCTAGGGGCTAATAGTAAAATGTGACTGATGGCAAGTTCGCACGTCACAGTGTCGATCCCGGTGACCGTCCGTCAGCTGATGAGATTCCAAGATTATGGGATTCAGGCCATACCCACATAGGCACTAGTTGGATATTGAACCACGTATTTACCCCTCAAAACAGGCTAAGAAAGGAAAAGGCAACGGATAAACCACTTGAAAGGTGGTCTCACCATTCCGATACCGGTTGCATCATTGGAGGATCATTGGATCTCCCTTTCGGACGTCGCTTATCAGCTAATCTCTCACATCATCATCCTGGGCTTCCAAGGTTTCAAGGTTGTCCTTTCATTTATTTTGGCACTGGAACTCTTTATACCACTCCAATATTTATTTTTCTTACTTACATCAATTTTCGTTATATGCTCTAATGCATCTATTCCCCACTTGAACGCCCTTAACTCTCCTGTCATCTCTTGAACCACCAACCCTCTTATCGTACTATCTGCTTTAGCTACAACCAGATCAGTAAGATGGCCTTCCAGGTCCCAACACACGTCCCCCGCCGCAGGACATCCTATTCAACCCCTCAGCCACTCACACTCGATATCCCCTCCTCCTTGTCGGAACAGCGTGATGACGACACCGCACAATGGGTCCTATTCTCCCCGACCGCTCGGACGCACACGACTTCAACAGATCGTACGCGTACCGCAGGTCCTTCTCGGCTGAGTGACTTTGGCTCCTTCGCTGCAACCCAGTCTGCATCTGGCGTTGAGGGCGAGGCCGATGACGAGAATGCCCTCGACGACCAACTGGACGAAGATGGAACCGAACTGGACAGCTTAGACGATGGACTGCACGCCTTTCGAGCACCAGAGCTGGCTCCAGCTTCCCCAATACGGTTTGATCAGGGGCCGCCGGCGATGCTCCCGGCCCATGACGGATTAGGCAGTTTCCAGGCCTCGAGTCAGGCAGTCCAGGATCAACTGTGGCGGCATGAGCAATACAACCCCCAGCGGCCCTCGTATGGCCATCTCCGACATCGCCGTAACTCAAGTGTACAAAGGCATTTGGATACCGTCGAGGAGGGCGAGGCGAATATCGAGCGAGAGCGGTGGCAGCGAATCGAAGAATGGCGCATGGACCAGAGCCGGGCTCTGTTGCAGGAAATCGAACGGGAAACCCGACAGAGGCGGGCTAGTCTGACCAGCCGATCGAGCGTTCATCGTTCTGGTGATCACAATCAACAAACTCATGTATCTGAGGTGCTGTCACGGGATATATCACTATCGAAAGATGTCTCGGAGGATGAAGAGTCTTTCTGGCGCCGTATCACACGAACGGTGATCCGTGACCTGATCGGGATTGATGATTCATTGCTTTCCGTGATCTTTGGTGAATCGTTGCCGCTGGACGCGCAACCTCACACCCAGGAAGATCGACTAGACATGGAAACAGTACTGGCTCGTGAACCAGAGCCGGAGTATAGCGACTCACCACTGTGGCGGACAAAGATGCTTCAGACGATCGCTCATGAGCTGGGGATCCTCGTCCATCAACTTTGTGAACACCCCGGGGCATTTACAACATATTATCAAATGACCAAAGATATATCCGCCGAATATGCGGGGATGTCTCTCAACCGCCTCGCGGAAAGTGGAATCTCTCAGAGACCCGCAGAGTCCGCTGTAGCCACTGCCGATACCACTGGCGAGTCCATTTTGTCGCCGCACTTCATGCCCACACTTCGAGACTCAAATCGAGAGCACGAAGCACAATGGGGGATTGAAGATGATGATCCAAAGCGATCTGACCAAATATCCGAATCAGCAAAACTCCAACACGAAGCCGAGTACTGGGAACGTGGACTCGATGTAATGATGGTCTTTCGCTACCTCCGCAACCGCTTTAGCCGCCGAGGTTACATGCCCAACGAAACGCACACACCAACCCCACCCCGCCGCCCGCAAGATGCGTCTCGGCGAGCAGCCATTATCCGGCAACACCACCCACTCGTGGCGCGAGCCCACTTCAGATCGCAAACCCGTACCCGTCGCGCATCACAATTCCCCGGTGTATCAAACCCAGCGGGTGTCTCCTCGCCACTCCTACGACCACATCCCCGGCGACCTGGGTCCAGTTGCGCCAGCCAGAGCGCCAAGCTATCCGCTATCTCCAGTCGGCGGACAATGACAAGCTCTAGCCGGAACTACTGGGATATCGGCGGTAGCGAAAGCAACAGCGCCATTGGTGTTGGAGCTGGGCTCGGTACTTGGGGTGAGGTGTGAACGATCGCATATTTGCAGCGCACATGATGCATCCACCGGCGTGGGTAGATGGCAATATTATTTCGGGGTATGGCTGGCTATATTCGGGAGCGTACTTTTTCATGATCATTTAACGAGCAATATTTCTGGTTTTCTTAGCTTTTTGTTTATACCTGTGGATTATGGTTCTGTGGGGATTTGTTATTCTCGGTCTCTTCTCTTCATATATTGAAACTCGAACATACGGCATACAATATCCATCACACTATACGTTTCGGTTAAAAGGTCCACTGGTGGTCTAAATATGTTGTCTGTGAACATTGAGCGCGACAAACTATCTGGGTCTCCACCATTACGTGGCTTTTGCACTCGCGGAGTGTACGAAGTCAGACACCCGTACCCTGCCTGCGTAGAATGCCGAGCACCGTCGTTCCCTTGATCTGCTCAACCATAGCATAGAGTTCGTCCAAACTCGGGCGATCCTCAGGCGTCTTGCGTGTACAGGCCTGCACCACAGCACCCAGAGGAGTAGGGACAGCCATTCCACCAATTGTGTGATCGGCACATTTCCAGATACTGTCCCTTTTATGACACCACCGAGATCATATATATCCGACTTCTCCGTCCAACCAGCGTCAAGACCTGTTCACGAGAGACCCCGGGAGCAAGACGATTTCCCCACCGGCCCTCGAGATCGTAAATAAACACGCGAGGAATAGGATCAGCAGAGAAAACCAAATTGTGGATACGAAGGTCACGATGAACAATGCCAACGGAATGAAGACATTTCAGTCCTAAGATAACCTGCAAGACCCACTCTTTGTACGTCGCGAGAGCGTAGATGTACGTCAAGATCCATCGTGGCTTGAACTTTTCAAAGACCAACTTCTCGTCCCGCGATTTCCAAGTAACTGAATGACGCGCGGTGACTTTGGTAGTCCCGGGCAACATCCACTTGACATTTCAACAGATTGCTGATCTCGCTCTTATATTTGCCTTCTTTAAGGAAATATTTGCTATCGTCGACATTATCGGAATCGATCTTAAGGATAGGCAGCGAAGTGAGGAGTGCACCAAGGTCTTCAGAGTCATCACCCAAGTTTGGCAGTAATGGCACATTTTCAACTGGGCGTATTTTGTCACCGATGATTTCGAAGTCGCCGTCCAAAACCGCTTCCGGCAGGTTCTGGTTGAGGCTGAGGATATCAACTAATAAAGTGTCCGGTATAGCGGCCAGTCGGAGACACTGACCTGAAGGCTCGTACCAATACGTGTAGCAGAGGATCCCATCGACTATTCTAATGTCGAGGTCTAGTATCTGTCGGCCAGGACCGGAGGTCAGGTATGACCGCGCTCGTTTGTCGTCGCAATCAACTCGCAGCTGCTGGACTTGTTGAGTGAACGAATCTTTGAGTTGTTGGTTGATGGTTGCTATTGGATACTTTTGTAGCAATTCCCGGTCTATGCAGGAAGGAAGAGGGACATTAATACCGGCGTCCTGTTGGAGCCATCACGTGTAAACAGGGTTGTCCTTGGACTTGTCGATGAGCGGAGAGACAAGGTGATGTTTGGCCATTGGCTTCATGACAACCACTGTACTTTACTTGGATCTATTGACTCCTAAGTTAACTTAACAAATCACTTCGCCGTGATCCCATCACTATTCTCCACCGACGCAGGTCTCCATTAAAATAGGCTAGCCCTTGCTTTGAGGCACATGGACATCAAAGTCGATACGATCCAGCACCTCGAGCTTAGTCCCAAGATGATGTCTGACGAATAGCAAGGAAACACCAGCAGGAAACAACCTAGCATCTTCCGTCCTATGCTACCACTTCTCCGGGGCAGCCCTCATCTCCTTAAGGACAGACGGATAAGCGGGATATATTCGGATCAGCTTGGATATCATACAGCTGCTCAGCCGGACAGAGGAAGTCATCGTTCGATGGTTTGGATCCGACTATGTTAGGCTGGTACCCTAAGACAAGCGTGGATCAGCAAGGGACATGAATTAAGAGCAGACGTCTACAATGACAGATTGGAGTGCCTGTCCCACTGTTTTACTACGACCGGCAAAAAAATGGCCTTGCAGGCGTTTGCTTTACATAGCCAAAGACCAAAACCTACATCACCAATCAGCTCGCATGGCTTAGTGGTAAAGCGCATGACTAGTAATCATGAGATCCTCGGTTCGACTCCGAGTGTGAGCATTTTTTTGCCTGTATCTATGTATTAGTTTTTGGCTCGTTCTTGTGCAGTCTGAAAGAAATAATAATGGGGTCCTAAGCCAAGCATATTCAATGGTTGAGGATGATGTTTGGGTCAGGCAAGACCTGTAATGACGGGTAGCGGCTTAAACGGCTCTACATACATGTATGTATCTTTTTTTGACCCTCCTTTCAGTGTATTGTCGAGTATTATTTTTGATTTCTTCTCGCAGTATGATGACAAGCGACACGAGTCTAAGATTGAACTCTGGATTTCGATATTATTTGAATACAGCAATATACCTCCCACGGAATCCAAGGCGTGTCCAATCCAATAACATCCGTTGCCAGTTTGCTACTTCAAAACTGCATATCTACCCATATGTTCATTAAAACAATTCAGACCTGCTTGGCTGCATATGTAAATTTTCGATCATAACTGCCCGAAAGTTCTGCTGCTGGCTTGTGCTGCTGCCAGCGCCCGTGTCTTTAACCACCATACCCATACTAGAGGTCGTAAACAATTTCACAAAAGATGCCCTCAAACCCTACGTGGAGCTTTCTGCAACTGGTCAACCCTGGCCTCGCAAATTTTCCTAGTTTGCTCTTGGGTTTGAATCCTTTCTAGGATCGTCTTGGCCTCGTCCGTCTTCTTCCATTCATCCTCCCGCCCCTCGAAACTCCCAGTTAAAATCTTCCGATCCACATCCTAGGCTAATCTTCTCTATCTTCATAGCCTGGCTCTAGAACTTGAGGTCAAACGACCCATGAGCTCTCCATGGTTTCCGAGCTGTCTTCAAATCGATTTTGAGATCATGTTTTCTTCTCCTCAGAATGCGTATAGCTTCAGGTTCAGTAGTGAGGGATCCCATTGACTCGTTTGGGAATTCATACTGATGCCTGGAGCGCGGAGATTCACGTTTGGGGCGCAGAGATTGGGTCGGCGGTTGTTGCGATGGGTAATCGGAGGATTTACAGAAGGCTGTGCGGGGGCGTCTGCAGTGACACTCTCCATCTAATTTAATGTCAGTTGACTGGTTAATGTGCAAGATATGAATGCTTACCGGTGCGGTATTTTATCGGCCTGTCATAGAGGCAAGTGATGCAAAGATGGGCCCAGAGCCAGTTACCGCATGACTTAGGCCCATCCCATAGCATCAATCGTACAGCAGTGGCTGTGCCTCGCTTACTCGGATTCGGCGCGTGCGGCAATTCCCGCATCCTTTACTGGACCAGGGTTTGCAGGACATGGTGGAGGCGACGGAGCGAAGGACAGTAGTTAGTTAACGTCGAGGAGGTGGAAGAGAGCAGGAAGGTTAATGGGGGTTGCAACCGATTGCCAGACTGGTTGAAAGGTACTCGGAAATGAAGTGAGATGGAAGTGAGAGAAAGGCGAGAGTGAGAGTAAAGTGAGAGTAAAGTGAGAGCAATACAGTAGTAATTCTATCCCTAAACGCCGCGGGTAGACAAACTAGGAAAGGTATGCTGACAGAACACTTCTGAACTACCTAGGTAGTGAGACTTGATTCTAATTCGAAGGTTGTGTTAGGGTGTCGATATAATTAAATCGGCTTATCCGGAGTTAAAATAGCATGAGTTCATGGACTACGCTGCCTCTTACTAGCCGAATCTTCTTCCGAATATTTAACATTCTCGAAGGTGCAAATCTACTAGGCCTGGTTTATTTTACGACTTATAGTTGATGTGAATTCCAGAAATCAGACAAGATCATACGGTAATAGACCAGGTATAGCGGCTTAAATAGCCTCTATCTTCTTCGACACTAACTTTTCGTTGATCTCCATGTGTCGACCGTGGAGCTCTGCTACTCTCGTCTAACCCAGGATGTCCGCAACAGCGTCTTTAACTCTCTGGTCGAGACACTCTACCGCCTGAGCGCTGGCTCAGCCGCGCCTGTTTTGTCGGCCTCGTCTGCTGACAGACACGGAACCATGAACTGTGCCACGTTCGTAAAACGCGTGACTTCAACCCTGGACCTGGTCAACCCATCTTTCCCCATCTCCCCTCGTCTCATTCCCATCGCATTATCGTCTGGTCCCGACATCATTCTCGCCTCACTTAATGCTCAGACAACTTCGAAAGTGATTTCCAAAAAAGGCCGTTGAGCCAATCTGTCGCCTAAGCTGGACCAGTTCCTCCGATGCTCCCATCTAGTGCCCTCTCCGACGAGGCCTCCCATTTTACCGAGCGTGACGATCACAATGGTTTTGTGGCTTTCTGGTCCCGGGCGTCCAAGGACCCGTCAGCCTCCGTGTCCACTGATCACGTCGCCATGACCCGATACCTCGCCCATTAGAGCCCCCGTCTTCGGTGTCTCCTCCATATCCTTGTGCAGCAGGGTGGTCGCCCGATCAGCCGACAGGTCCCAACGGCTGTTGAATACCGAACACACCAATAGGAGAGTGGCATGGTTTCGTCAGATGCTGTCGGTGGTCTATACAGGCGCGTATTCCTGAAGGACTTTCTCCATGATGACATTGTCCCAGATTTGGTGTGGTCATTTGCCACATCTAAAGAGTGGCATGGCAATCTGGCGGTTTCGATTGATAACCCTGTCCCTTGCCAGAAGAGGAGAGATGTACTTTGGAATTTGCTTTTGCGGCGCTCGGCAGCCCCGCGGTTCTATGTTGTCGACCCCAAGATCCGGAGTGACCTTGGACGGTTGCGAGATCTTTAATTTGGTGGCGAATCCCAGAGCCCCGCTGATGCAGGTCTTCGCGACATATACAAACTGGACGCTCAACTGCCAACAAGCGGCATTTAGAAGAGTAAGATGATGCAGGGCGAGCAGAGAAGAAAATGAAGGCACAGAAGACAGAACACACCATCGACATTGCGGAAGGAATGGGATCAACAGACCAACTGATGTATAGAGACGGGCCAGATGTCACTGCTAACGACGCAGTGCAGTTGTGCGCCCCCCTATTTTCTCCTGTTTAAGTTGGTCAACTGCGTCAAAAACCAGTATGTGTGTATCTGCCATTCGCTGGATCGGTGGTGCGTGACAGTACCTCATTTGCTGTAGCGTTGCACAGCAAGGACTTGATACAAAGCATAATACATCCATGGGTGTGATGCCAACATTTGAAAGTGGCCTACTTTCGACTCTTCTAGTATACTAATTTCGGTGCAAACCTAGTATTACCACCCCAGTTAGAGGGCTCCTAGTGTATATATGAATCCTAGAATTACGGCCTAGTCCATAGTGCAACATCATGGCTATGGTTATGATTCAAATTGAACAGCTGTGGCGATATAACTTACCAAGGGCCAGATAATGGAAGGATCTGCCATGTCATCAACAGCGACCGCGGAGATCAGTAGGCCTACGAAATCCTCGAGGTTGGAAGCAGTTCCCCTTCACTAAGACACAAACTGTCGAAAACGGCTTTTCCAAGCGCTGAGTAAGCCTCACGATGAGGGAGGGATACATCAACGCATCTACATATCGTCTGAATACTCCCGTGACATTGGCATCGCTACATATATGTTGCACTCATACAGCATACCGAGGTGATTGGAAATGAAGCTTTAAAAAAAGCAATAAAAGTTGACAACAACCGGGATACGGATAATGATGATGCCAATAAATCTGCTTGGGCTGCCATCTGGGATTTGATAGGAGCATGGGTTTAGAAGGCCATTTACATGAACACGCACGGGCCTCGAATGCAACCGGCAAGGCGACGCTGTCCCGAAATAGGAACGCTAAACCTCAACTAGAGGTGTGGAAGTACTTTGTTTACATATAGGAAGCCGTAGCGATTTTAGCAAAGGCCTTCGAGCGCCCAAGCCAAGTGGGCAGCGGCCGAATCCGGCCAAGCCGGCACAAATGGCGATTGTACTTATAGGTGCATCGCTATGTACGCACCTAGATAGTGCTATTATTAAACACCCGCGCCTCAAACAGGAGTAAACTTCATAATCTAGGATGGCGATCCCACCTCAAAATTTCTAAGCTTACGTACAAGATCATTCTTTTCCTAAAAAAGAACCTTCCAAGGATACTCTCCACATAAAACATCGGACTCCACCCAGATCAAGCATGTGAAGTTTGGATACGCGTATAGATCGGGCCCACCTGGCTGCCACTAGTGGCTCTAATCTGGGCGATCGTTGGGATTGTACCTCTCCATTATATTGTCCTGACACCACGAGTAATATAATATGTGCAAATTCGTAGTGTTCAGTTCAGAAGACTTAGGTACTGTCAAGCACTTTGGAATCTTCACTTCTGATACGGACACTCTGAGATACATACACGTACATACGGTACCAGAGTATCTTTCAATACATCCATACGTGAGCTTTACATCGTACTCGTATTCCAGTTTAACCATGGGTCTAGGGCGTAAGGCCCAATTAGGTGGGTCTTGATATGTATAAGGATTTTTCGAGGTTACCTAGGTGCCAAACAGCTCATAGGAAGGTTTTTCTCTTGCGCTTAAAGTGTTTAAAGCCCTTGACTCGTGTTGTCCCTTCCAGGTATCCGTTCAACTGTAACTTTTGCTATTATCTCTGTTTTCTCTTTCTCTTTCGCCTTTTCCTGGTATATTGTGCTTGACTTATGGAACATTGCAAAACGCACTCCAAGGAGGCCGACACGGTCCCTCATGACCGGCCTCACGACCAACCTCCACCACCATACGAGGCAGTTCCGCAAGATTTGGCCGAAGCTCAGGGTATCTCTGTTAATGGTACGTACGCTACCAGATTCTAGCTTGGTAAAGCAAATCTGACCTAGTAGATGACGGCCGTGTTGTTGTGGATGCTAGTTCTCGGCTCTGCAGATCTCTTTCTAAGCTATTGCCTCATGCTATCCCCCAGACCTTACCTCCACCAAATTATTCAGAAGGGGTGCCAACGTTCAAGTTCCCTCTGAATATTGTGATTCAAATCATCGGCAGCAGAGGAGACGTCCAACCATTTGTTGCGCTTGGTACGGAGCTACAAAACACAGGCCATCGCGTGCGTATTGCAACGCATAATGTCTTCGAGCGGTTCATCCTTGAAGCCGGATTGGAGTTTTACCCTATCGGCGGTGATCCGGCTGAGCTGATGTCATACATGGTCAAGAATCCCGGGTTGATACCCGGCCTAGACAGTGTTCGTGAAGGAGATATTCAGAGGAAGCGTTTAATGATGGCGGAAATCCTTCACGGTTGCTGGCAATCATGCCTGATGCCTGATCCTATCACAAATGTCCCATTTGTGGCTAATGCCATCATTGCCAATCCTCCGAGCTTTGCGCACGTTCACTGCGCCCAAGCCCTAGGGATTCCACTTCACTTGATGTTCACAATGCCGTGGAGTCCAACAAGGGCATTCCCGCACCCGTTGGCCAATTTGAAAAATATCCCAGCTGATCAAGAGTGGCTTAATCGCGTCTCTTATAGCGTCGTGGATTGGCTATCATGGCAGGGGTAAGTGTTGACTATTCCTTTATAACGTGTACACTAAGAAAACAGCCGACTTATCTTCCGTTTGACATAGTCTAGGGGGTGTGATCAACGACTGGCGGAAACATGAGCTGGAGCTCGAGCCTATCTCTCTTTCAGACGGCCCTTTCATTCTAAGCAAACTGAATGTCCCCTATACGTATTGCTGGTCCCCTGGCTTAGTTCCTAAACCTGATGACTGGCCTCATAATTTCGGTGAGATATGATCGTTTCCGTTGCATTCGCTGAAATCGCTGAACTCGCTGAAGTCGCTGAATTTGTTGACTAACTCGCATGAATAGACGTCTGTGGGTTCTTCTTCCGCGATCCGCCCGACTATCAGCCTCCTCTTGAGATCGCAGAATTTCTGAATGCCGGGCCCCCTCCGGTGTATTTTGGATTTGGAAGCATTGTTCTTGAAGACCCGGAAGAGATAACAAAAACGATTCTACAGACGATTCAGGAAACTGGGGTTCGGGCAATCATCTCACGTGGCTGGAGCAAGCTAGGGGGGATCGACTCGGGAGAACTAAATAGGAGTGATGTTCTCTTTATAGACGATTGCCCGCACGAATGGTTATTTGAACGGGTTAGTGCGGTTGTTCACCATGGAGGTGCTGGTACAACGGCATGCGGGCTACGCAATGGCAAACCTACTATCATTGTGCCATTCTTTGGAGAGTGAGTGACAGACTGTTCTTTGTTTTTACTTGAATTGCCCTATGGCCATTTGGAACCTTCTCTGACCTATTTAATTATAGCCAGCCATTTTGGGGAGAAATGGTTTCTGCGGCTGGTGCAGGACCGGACCCTATTCCATATAAACAACTCAAGGTCACAGCGTTGGCCCAAGCAGTGCGGTTTTGTTTGACGTCAGAGGCAGTGTGCTCCGCACAAGGTATTGCCGCCAAAATGCGGCAAGACGAAGGAGTGAAAACAGCTGTGGAATCATTCCATCGGAACTTACCGCAAGGTCTGGTCGAATGTGATCTACTACCGGAATTCCCAGCCTGTTGGAGATATCGCCTAGGCAAGAACAGGTTTCGCTTGTCAAAAGTTGCTGCAGAGATTCTTGTTGAAAAGAATCTGTTAGATATTAAAAGGCTGAAACCGTGAGTCCGAACCTTCCCACTTCAAAGCCATCCACTATGGCTCCAAATTTCGTCGTTCGGCGAACCTTTGACTAACCTCTTTTGAATGCAAGATACCAACCAAACCCCATTATCATTGAGAACACACGATGGGACCCGGTAACTGGTATCTCCTCTGCTGGAATGGGACTCACATTTGATATGCTCAAAGCAGGAGGCGATATCTTTTATAAGCCGTACAAGGTATACCAAGATGGTCGCAACTCACCTCTTCCATCGCCAACTGGTTCGGAAAACAATCCTGCCCGGCTGCTGCCAGGAGGCGGTTCAACATCAATTCGCAAAGCTCAATCGATGAATGATTTGACGGCACGGGACGCTGGGTCTAAACAAAAAGGCAGGGGCGCTGCGATGGCTGCGGCATCGACGTACGCTTCTGGAAAGCTCCTCGGAAAGGTGGCTTCTGGATTTATGGTCGATTTGCCTTTGGCTGCGGCTGAAGGCTTCCGTATGCTCCCTGGTCTTTACGGAGAAAAGGTTCCGAAGTATGGAAAAGTAAAAGATTGGAAATCTGGCGCAGTTGCAGGCGCTAAAAGCTTCGCCATTAGCATGGGAGGAGCTGTGACTGATGTGTTCTATCAGCCATATAAAGGTGCTAGAGACGGAGGCGCCGCTGGCCTTGCGGGTGGCTTGTTGAAGGGGACTTTTGGGGTTATAGGCAAGATGGCACATGGTAAGGATATACCTTCAGTTTATGAACCCCTTCAAGTGCTCTTTCATCGTTCATCTTGGCTGACCTCTTACCAACTCAAGGCTCACTCGGCCTTGTTGCTTATCCCGGCCAAGGTATTAAACAAAGCATTCATTCTGCGCTTCATAAGAGCACACGGAAGCTTATTATGGCGGCTCTTCACCTGGAGGGATACGATATGGTTCGGCAAGAGAGAGTGAGAGGGATTGAAGATCGGATAGTCATCGAAAAATTCATGGGCATGACCCAAAATGACATCGATGATGATAGTGATTATGTATAACTAGGTCATACCAGTGCTAATTGGATAGTGACTAGAATTCAACATGATGAAAGTAGAATACTGTACAAATAGGTTAACATAGCAAAGAGGTTGACCTCAGTGAGCATCACCATGCATCGACTCCAGTGAAGCTTTTGTAGAGTGGCGTATTCCTGTGACATGCGTTTCGTTTTCTCGATCTTGATCTCCACTGCCCCTTCGCCATGCCACCATCGCAGATATTGAAGCTTGACCGTATGGAATTCCTGAAGACCGATTTCCCATTCCCCTCCACTCACCGTAACCGAGGTCTATCCCATTGGAAAATGAAACTCGGGGAGGTATATTTCACTCGGGGCATGAGGCATAGCCTGATTTGCAATCAATCTCACGGTGAACGTACACTCCTTCAAATCGAAAGTATAACTTTCTAATCGCCTATTCATGTAGACGGGAGCGGGGCGAAGCCATGCCTCCACTGCCCTGTAGCCCCGTCGCGGCTGCATGGTAGCCTGGGAGAAATCGAGCGAGATGCACAGGCGTATCAAAGCCTTGAGCGAGCCAAATTTCTCCTCTTCAATATTGATAAGATGATCTTTAGAGCACACTGTGGAACCTGACTCTGTTGAACCGGAAGAGGCTCTGACTGGTAATTCCAAATCATCCTGTGAGTATATGGAAAGATCCTCCCCATTCCACTGATCGCCCCATTGATGGTCATTCTAGCTGGAGTTAGTTAAGGCTCTTTCAAAAATAGACTGGTATACATACCTCTGCCACATAAGCCCATAGAGCAAATCCGTTGGCCGTGCTGCCTTCTAACGCAAAATGGTTGGCATCCATTGCTCCGATCTGACTACTGTAGTCTCCAGCCTTGTATGCACGTTTATCATCCATGTCATACGGAATGCCGATCTCGGTAAAGATCAGGGGATGATCACCCATGTGTTCTAGACTCTCTTCGCGCAGAAACTTGAGCTGACGACGCAGGCTTTTTCGAATTAATGTCTCACCGATTTTGATTGCGAAAGGTGGTCCAAGGTACTTGCCCCGAAGCAACCCAATGATATCCAAGTTGTAGAGCCGATTCCTATTAGGATCAATATCATGGATAGCAAACAGATGAGGCTTTGCTACCAACCAGTGCTTCGTTAAAAGAGTCAAGCCATCATAAAAGTGAGCCGCGTGAACCATGTTCGGATCATCGTCAGCGGTACCCTTGAGGCTTGGTGGTAGCTCCATGACAGGTGGCTGGCAAAACATGATAGTACTTCCACACACGCTGCGAATAGCGTCCTTATACGCTCGGTAGTGGTTCAGAAAGTAAGAGTTTGTAAAGGCTTCATAGTCAAGCGTCTCGCCAGTTATTGGGTTGCTTGAAAAGTAGTCCTTTTGTAGCAGGGTGGCTTTGCTTTGAGATAGATCCCAAACACCATGTTGCGCCCAAAGGCATTCACCGAGCCTCCAGCCCTGGTCGCGGTGCCAACCATATTGACAGTCGTCGTACTCAGTCGAAAGCCATGCCTGTTCACCCTTTGGATCTATAACCTCCGTGCCTGTCTGGTATGGCCCAAATTTTCCGAAACCCAGGTTTTTACCTCACAGGATAGCCCAGAGCCAATTACCATAGCCTGAAACGCCGTTGGAGATGTCCCGAGCTGGAGATGCTGCTCCGATGGAATCGAGGAAATATCTTGAATGCCGATTAGTCCTTTATTGGGCTCATTCATACTTTCCCACCCGATGACCACATCTCCTTCGAGATCACCGGCGGTTTGGATTCTCTGTGCAAGGTATTTGCATGCCGCAATAAAATGTCTTTGCAAATAATCTTGAATATTCACACCATCGATGATCGCCTTCGGTGCGAAATCTCGACCAGCCCAAAACAAAGTAAACATAGTCTGGCAGGCTAACCTCGTGTAGTTCGTGCACCAAAGCATCTTGGGGAACTCTGCAGGATTGTCCCATTTGTTGTGAACGATGGCGGCCTGTGTATCTTTGAAACTCTTGGGATTCAGTCCCGCGGCATAGAGCGTCCATGTAGGTGCCCCGGATCCTCCTGATAATCGAGACCACTTAGAGCAGTAAGCTTAGTCCTCACAATACATTCGCTCTAGACCAGACTTACTACGTCTTGGTGCGGGTCCATGAAAATGTAGAACCCGTATTCCTTGGCGACACGAAGAATTTCAATGGTGAAATCGATCCATTCTTCATCGTACATCCTAGGACCAGCGTGTTCGATTGCCTCCAGGTGAAGATATATCTAATGGCGTTGTATCCCCATTTTCGGAGACGTTGGAAATGTTTGTCGGCATCTTCTAGGGAGAACGGCTTTCCCACAAACGATACATGCGCGTCGAAGAACCCCTGGGCGTTGTGCGATCTGAGATCTGGGGTTTTCGGATATTTAGCGTCACCTCCCACATTTATTCCCCGCAAGATGATTTCTCGATTCAAGGGATCTCGGAAGGATCGGCCCTCGACGTGCAGACGGAGTTGACTCATGTCGTTTACCGCATTTAATGAACCCGTGGCCATTTAGTTGGTGAATGGAGGAAGCTGACTGCAAATGCCACGTGGAACACTCTCGAAAAACGTATGGAAATATGTACATAGGGAATAGGTGTAATGGATAAAGGTCCTTGCAACATGAATACCCGTCGGAATCAGCTGACATGTACCGGGTTACGTGACCGAACTGTGCGGCCCCAGGGGTTCTCTTACTGAGGTCCGTATGGCCAGCCCTGGAGGTGTGTTTCCTGCGTGCATTCGCTCGGGTGGACCATTATCCATGGAATGTGAATTTGAGTTGCCGTGCCTAAATTCAGAACCAATCAGCAGTGTGTATTTTATACCGTTGGTGGAGCTACTACTACAGGATCGCTATACGAATACGCTATACGAATGCGCGTATTGTTCGTGGGTTCAATGTTCTTTCGAGATGAACACCAAAATGTGTCCAAGAGTAGGAGGCTCAGCATAGTTCTATGTGTCTGCTTATCTGCTTATGGAGGTGGGCATCCATGTGCGTGCCTAGGATGTCGATGGAATACCGCTTTGCATTACCAAGCTACTACGCTGAATGTAGACCCTAGGGCTTTGCATCTACTTCAGGAGACGGAAGGTGGTAAGGAAATTTAGAATAATTGCACGAACCATGCCGGTTTGACACCGTATGCCTTGTGAGAAACTAGCAAGGGAGCGTAATCTTGTCGAAAAGATGTAATCAGACATAAACCAGTGATCGCATATCGCATATCTAGTGAACACCAGTGATTTCTGACCAGGAACTACAATTGAAAGACTATGTGCATCAGCTTGTCAATATGCTTGTGTCAGCCAATCTAAGCATCGCCCACCCGGTTCGTCTCGCAATAATTGTACCTATTTTTGTACTCGATGCATTGTATATTTGGGCTCGTGGTTTCAATTTGGGGTAACTCCAAGATCGAAAGTCGCAAGCGAAAAAAGGAAACCGTCCGCGACACGTGACATGTAAAATGCGGAGAAGATAAGGGCCCTTTTGGGCCTAGTGCGTGCCTGGCTACTGGCCTGATAAGACGTCAACTGCTGCACTGAGAAATTGCGCTGGCACATTGGAAGAGGAAGGTTATCGCGAAAGCCACCTGAGGAATTATGTACCCTTGGAATGTTGTCCCACATGTGACAGCTCCACTGGGAGCTGTGCTCTCACAATGTCAATTCTATAAAGATCATCACAAAAGTTGCTGAAGACCTGGATGAACAACGACAAGACTGAGATTCCTGATCCCAGTTCTTCTATTGACAACTTTACACTATGGGATCCGGAGAACAGCAGTACGATGTCCTCATCATCGGCGCCGGTCTTTCGGGTATCTGCGCACTTCACAACTTCCGGAACCGCTTTCCATCGTGGCGCGTCGCTGTTCTCGAGGCAGCGGATAATGTTGGAGGAACTTGGTACTGGAACCGCTATCCGGGAGCACGAGTTGATACTGAATCACTCTCCTATGCATACTCCTGGGACGAAGACCTTTTGAACGAATGGAACTGGAACGAGTCCTTCTCCACCCAGTCAGACGTCCTCGATTATATTGAACATGTCTGCGATAAGCACAACCTCTACAAAAACATCCAACTCAATACTCGGGTGAAGACAGCCATCTGGCAGGATAAGAACAATACTTGGCTGTTTCGTGACGAAGTCGGCACCCATCACCGGACCCGTTTCTTTATCAGCTGTATGGGTTTCCTGTCAACCCCGACGCTTCCTGCCATTCCAGATATTGAAATGTTCCAAGGCAAATCTTTCCACACCTCCCGCTGGCCAAAGGGCTTTGATATCAGTCGTGATCTGGCCAACAAGCGAGTCGGTGTTATTGGCACCGGTGCAACAGGAATTCAAACAATCACAGCAGTATCAAAGGAACCGAGCATAAAATCATTGAATGTTTTTCAACGCACGGCAAATTGGTCCGCACCCCTGCGCAACGAGCCGATTAGCCCCGAGCAGATGGAACAACACCGCAAGAACTACGATGCCCTTTTCCAACTATGCGCCAAGACACCCACCTGCTTCATGCATCAGGCCGACCCACGCAAGACCCTAGAGGTGTCTGCAAAAGAGCGGTTGGAGCTTTGGGAAGATATATACGCAAAACCCGGTTTTGCCAAATGGCTCGGAACATTCAGCGACACATACAGCAACCGTGAAGCAAACGAACTCTACTCCGACTTCATGGCGAGCAAGATTCGAGCCAGAATAAATGACCCTGAGGTTGCTGATAGCTTGATTCCTAAGAATCATGGCTTCGGCACACGACGAGTCCCTCTTGAGAGCGGTTACTTCGAGGCGTTTAACCAGCCCAATGTGCATCTTGTTGACCTTAAGAAGACGCCAATTGAGAGAGTCACCAAGAACGGCATTATCACGTCTGATGGCAAAGAACACGAATTAGATGTTTTGATCTATGCAACGGGCTTTGATGCCATTACTGGTGCATTCAGCTCCATTGATTGGACAGGGAAGGACGGTCGACCCCTTCTCGGCTCCAGTAACAGCAAGGAAGGTGAGCGAGCAGTCTGGGTTGATCACCGGCCTCGTACATACTTGGGTATGACAGCTTGCTCTATGCCGAACATGTTCATGGTCCTAGGTCCACACCAACCATTCGGCAATGCTCCACGGACCATCGAACACGCCGTGGAGGTTATCTCGGATCTCCTGCAACACTGCAAAGACAACAACTACTCCTATGTAGAGCCGACAGGAGAAGCTGTGGATGCATGGACGGAACACGTTGTTGAAAGCAGCAAAGGTGCTTTGTCAAACGAAATCGATAGCTGGATGACCGGGGTCAATACGAATGTGAAAGGCAAGACTGTTCGCAATGTTGCGAGGTACGCTGGCAGTGCGGTGGAGTATCGCCGGAGATGCGCTGAGTCTAAAGCAGCCGGTTGGAAGGGTCTGCAATTTGCTCGACTCTCAAGTTCCAAGCTTTGATGCGGATAAATATTTATGAACTATTGCTATTAAAATGTACGGTGTCGCATTCAACACACACTGTCAGGGCCCGGGGATGCAAGCCAATATCACAAATGGTCAACATCAGTCAGACCCAAACTGGCCAATAGACTAGCAGATGGAGCAAAGAATGTCGTCCCAGTAAGCGGCTTCGAGAAGTCAAGGATGCGATCATGAAGACCAGGAGGATCTCCAACAAACATACGCTCCAACATTCTTTCAATGACCCAGAGACGACGAGTGTAGCCAATAAAGTAAGTCCCAAACTCGCCAGATCCAGGAGATCCAAAGGGCATATTGTCGCGAAGAATATCATGCTCGTTCCCATTCTCATCTTCAATTGTGTTGAGTGTCTTATGAGAGCGCTGTCCAGACTTCGCATCTTCTAGTTCAACATTATCTATCTTGGTTCGCCCAATAATCCTCTCCTGCTGTTCAGTCGAGAGATCTTTCCATCCTGGTAAATCATGAGAGTACTTCTGTACAACGATATAACTGCCACCAGATGCAGAGGTATCCTCCTCTGCAACCAGGATAGAAGCCGGAACCGCCAATCCGACTGGATTAGCTGTGCCATCCACGAAACCAAGCAGATCTCGCACATCGAAGTAACGAAAACCGACCGTCTCGTCAATGACGGAGACGGAGTCACCGAGTTGGTCCATCAACTGACGCTCGAATTCAAAGCAGATATCTCTGCGCTCCGAGTGAATGTGGAAAAGTAGATCACCGGTTGTCGAGACCGCGGTGTGTTTTGCGCCTTTGACCTCGCGGAAAGGGTGCAGTTCTGAGGGACGAGGAAGACCCGTGAGACGATCCCATATGTTACTTCCAATTCCAACAGTGCAAGCAAATTGGGCGCTGAGGTCGCGGATGGATACATTTTTGGCTAGGCTGTCTACGCCTGCCAGTGTAGAGCGCACGTTTTCAATGGCATCAGACTTGTTGGTCACAGACAGAACAAGAAAGGTAGCTGACTGCGTGAGCGGAGCGTCCACGCGCTGAGGAGCTATTGGGACACGGTTGGTGCTCATATTTGCTTCTCGATATGACTTCGAATTGTAATAGGCAGATGTACGGCCCGAGAGGCTCGCCTTGTTCGTGAAATGTCGCTTTTTCTGGATTAGACTTTTCGAAGCTCCAAAAATATTTGAATGGAAAAAAGCAAAAATGGATGGCCAGAGAAGAGTGTTCAGACTACGAGCTGACCAGTGTGCTGGACTTGTTCATACTTTAGCTGCTGGCGGCCCGTCTTGGGGGAGAGCCCAGTTTTATGGAGCACTGCGATGATGTGAGTTCATCAACTGCTTATATTAGGGAGGAAATAATTGCTCAAATTCGTGTTCTACGACTATTCAAATGCAAAGAAAAAAGGTCGATGCTACATCGTAGAGTCATGACATCAGCTCACACCCGGCCGAACCGACCAGGGGAAAAATGTCACCGCGTGTGTCGGCTGGCGCATGATTCTGTGCAAGTATGAAAGGAAGAGTAAGTTGACAACTATAGAGGTCATTCGTATCTATAAATCAATGCTACCTCATCGCTGGGTATACCCGCCATCCACAAATAAAGCCGTTCCAGTAACAAAAGAAGCCCGTCCACCACTCAAATAAACAACTCCATCCGCGATCTCCTCCGGTCGACCCATACGCTCCATTGGGACCGCATTAGCAACCTTCTCCTGCATAGCCGCGAGGATCTGTGGCGACTTGGTCGTCAATGGGGTCTCGGTATACCCAGGACAGATGGCATTGATGCGCAGTCCATCCTTCGCATAATCCTCAGAGGCAGTCCTCGTCAAACCAATAACCGCATGTTTTGTCGCAGTATACGCAGTTGACAGCGCAATTCCAGCGACCCCCTGAATAGACGAGAAATTGACAATTGAGCCACGCTGTAGTGGCCTGCCATCGATCGAGGACCGGATAGGCTCCTGCTTCAACATGATCTTGGCAGCGGCGCGCAGAACGAAGAATGTGCCTGTGAGATTGACGTTCAAGATGCGGTCCCAATCCGACGTTTCGCAGAATGCAGCTCCGCCTGCGTGCTTCATTGCGATGCCGGCTGCGTTGACGACATAGTCGAGTCGGCCAAATGTCGTCGCGACTTGTTGGACGACTTGATTGACGCGGTTCTCGTCTGTTACATTGGTGGGATAGGTTACGACTCGGCACGACTTTGATCCCTCTCTGCGTTGTTGCTCTTCGATCTCGGCTTTGACGGCTGCCAGGGCGTCGGGACTGATGTCGAGCAGGGCGATTCCTGAGGCGCCATCTCTGGCAAATGTCTTCGCACAGGCACGGCCAATGCCCGAGGCGGCGCCTGTGACAAGAGCAACTCCAGATACGTCCATTTGGGGTTGTTTTGGGGGGTTCTGGGGTAGTTCGTTGTTGTTGGTCTCTTGATACACGTGGCGGGAAGAGTGATGGTAGGTAAAAGGAACAAGGAAATTGGATATTGATGGTTTATGTAGTTCTTCACGGAAAAAATCCAATAGATAGCGATGGCAGCTCAGTCTCTCCCCGAAGAGGAGATCTACTTCTTACTTGGACGCATGTGGGGTTGTCGCGGAGACTTTCCTAACTCGCGTCTGGCTATAGCCATGCGACCCATGTATGACAGCACACCTTGTACTTGCTTCCCTATCTGCATATATTAGTAGTGAACTGACACGTACTGCTGCTAATGCATATGCCCAGTGCGGGGGTGTTGCAGCTGATTGTCACCTTGGATTTGAAAGAGCATTCCTCAGGCAGAGCGCTCGGAAGTGCTAACATTACATTTGAAATCAAATAAGATAAAAGAGACCATGGAATTTGTTCAAGTCATTTTAGTCCTCTTTATCATGCAATCCTACTATATGTTGATAAAATTAGGGATATTCAAGTCTACAGTGATGGTAGGTGATCATCAACATGCGAGTTTGTAGATTGATCTCTTGTCCAGAGCATCATCTTGGAAGTTAAAGCTGCTGTAATGGCATAGTGCTTTTCATCAGGTCCAACCAAGTTACACTCTTCCCATTACCGCAAGTCTTCTCTTGCCAAATTCGCTGGATATTGGATAATGTCTCGGTAAAGCAAGACAGGCCACTTCGGCGTGCCGAATTCACAAACCAATCAGAGAATGATAGCTGAACCAATGGATCCTCGGCTTCACAAGCCGCAATAAATGCAGGCCAAATGAATCCTGCTGAGCCATGTACCACGGCGGAGTCTGTGTCATCGCAACGCAGTAGGTGATCCAGCACGCATGCGACCTTTTGCTGTAGCAAGGAAGCGTCCACGTCGTGAATTCGACGGTAGAAGTATATTGCCAGTGCATTATGCATGGAATGAAGCATATGTTCTATGATTTCACGGTCAAGTTCAGAATGGATATTTCCCAGGCTGGGTAGTGGGAGCTTGTTGATATAGTCTTCGAGGGTCTTCGCTCGGCCGATAAACTCTTTCAGACTGATGCAGTTTGACGGGTCATCCCCTTCTGCCGCGTCCTTTTCTTTCCCCAATCGAATGACCTGGGATAGAAGAATAATCCAAGGTTCAGGGATACCAAATATCTCCGGATAGAGAGTGTTAGACCAAAAGCCAGGCCTTTCAAGATGTAGGTCATTCTCGCCTTCCTCTTGCCCACGTACCCTCATCATTTCTTGATCCAGGTTCTTCCAACCCGATAGACGAAAGGATAGACTGTCAAGGCTATAGTTTCCTAGTCCGCTCGTTTCGATGGCCGCGTGAACGCGATGACGCTGTCTTGAGTTCGCTCCACAAATGAAGACACTCTCATGGATGATACGCTCAAATACATAGCAGTGATGTAGTAATCGTACTTTTCGAGACTTTCTGCGCGGAAGTCCTCTTAAACGAATGAACTTTTCTGCTTCCAGAAATAACATTCCGATTCTCTTCGATTCCCCGAGAACATCGTCACTTGGACCATGGTGAGCAATGCCATCAAGATTGACTTGTATTTGGCTACTTTGGGAACATTGTAGGCAGTCATCAGCATCATCCTTGCATGTTGCTGGGCTTTCTGCTTGTAAATTATGGCCTTCTCGCTCCATGTTTGAGATCGGGAGACTCCTCCAAGGCTGAATGCACTTATGGCTAATGTCCCGTAGAATGCACATAAACTGGCATCACTCATATCATCGCCCAAGACCAAACCCGCGAGGCAGCTCTTGGTGTGAGGTATGAAAAGGATGTGCCAGGGGGTTTTCGAGTGTCGGAGGGGAGTCATCAGGCTAATTACAGCCGAAACGTAGTGCCTGAGAAGGAACACGACATATTGGGGCAAACCTTCTGTGGTACCCATAGAGGGAGTAAAACAGGTTGGTGATATGGGATGACTGTAAGATTGATCTGGAAGGCATGGTGTCGGTAAATATTCATGAGCTGCTAAATTGTCTTCCAGGGAATCTTGATCTATCATGGTCTCTAAATATCCCGGGGAAGGCGGACTGGGAACACTCTCTGGTTCACCAAATGTGAAGTGCATTAAGGCTTGTGACCAAGGTGACAGAGGCATATCGGACGAGGCTAAGTAAGGATCCCTGAGTGGGATCACATTTTCCGGAGAACAGGAATGTCTCTGTTCATGGTCGTTGGCAGCTTGTTCATAAGGCAAGGTGTCTCGATCTTGGTTCAATCTAAACGCCCCGAACGGACCTTGGTGGATCTCGATCTCGATCTCATCCGAAATAGCTGCTCTTTCGCACTCTTCATCAATATGGGATATAATCCGAAGAGTTGTCTTTGGGGGAGCGCTCGAGACAAGACATTGACTCATGCGTTCTCTTTCCTTGACTGAAAATAATGGTCGACGAAACCGGACCCCACAAGTGCGAGGTGAGCTCTCGAAGTCAAAGAAGATATCTTTCTTATATCCTCCGCAGGCCAGACCAACATATTGACACATTGAACATTCTGGACGTCCTTCGTCGCATTTCACATGTCGACTTCGACACTATATTCTGGGTGAGAAATGAGTTATTATGACTTAGTGAGACCGCCGAACTTACTGTGGCACACCCTGTGAATGACCGCGTATGGGCTATGGATTCGTGTACAGCTTCTTGAAGTGAATCTCCCATCTCTTGGTGATTGAACAAGGGAAGTGTTGTACAGGAGTCTGCGGGGAATGTGGATCGGTGGATCGCCGATAGCGCAAACCTGCCTGTTTTGGCGGTGCGCGGTCACTTGCCTAATACATCGGAATATCTATGCAGGTTGTACATGGAGAATGTATATTTTATAGGTGATATCCAGATTCTCTTATAAATATGCATTCGATAATATGTAATTCTCTTTACGGCAATTTTATTCCTTATTCCCCATTGTACCAGAAGCAATATTATCATTATCAGTGAGATACAATCGGTGGACGTTTAGTGTGGAGCAATGATGTCTTTCGAAGATAAAGTGGTAAGTACCAACCCGTCAGTGCTCTATATGGGGTATTCTAATCTAACCATGTCTCCGTCTCCCCTAGATCGCTATCACTGGCGCAGCCTCCGGAATGGGGCTAGCCACAGCACAGCTCCTCGCAAGTCGAGGCGCAATAATCTCTCTCGCAGATATAAACGAAAACACCCTAGAAAAGGCTGTCCTTTCCCTCCCAAATAGCGATAAGCATATCTCCACAGTTATGGATGTGCGCAATAGCAAATCAGTGGATACATGGATCCAGTCGACTGTCGACAGGTTAGGCAAGCTGGACGGTGCTGTAAATATGGCCGGAGTGATCACGTCTGCTGCTCCGATCATAGAAGAGACCAATAACAATTGGGATTTTACATTTGCTGTGAATACACGCGGGGTATTCTTCTGCTTGAGGGCTCAATTAAAAGCAATGAAGGCCGGTGGTAGCATCGTGAGTCCCATCTCAGTGCGAATCGGAAAGATACAATGCTGAATCACTTTCGGGATAGGTATCTGCTGCAAGTGTGTTCGGTCAAATGGGTGCCCCCGGTGTCTCGGCCTACTGCGCTAGCAAAGCAGCTGTTATTGGGTTGACACAGACGGCAGCAAAGGAGAATCAGTATATTCGAGTAAACTGTGTTTCTCCAGGTAGGCCTGTCTTCTGCTATACATTCTTATGTCAGCTAACCAACCGTTTAGGGTCCGTCAATACGCCCCTCTCCGCTAGTGAAAACTCTGAAGATGTAAGGCGTGGCTTGCGAAAGACGGCACAAAAACGACAGGCAGAGCCAGGAGAAATTGCGCCTGTGGTCGCATTTCTCCTCAGTGAAGAGGCGAGCTTTGTGACTGGAGCTGTGTACAATGTGGATGGAGGTTGGATGTGCTAGGTGAAGACATCGAAGATAAAGGTCGCATATCGAAGAGAATAGATACGTTGTTCTTCTCGTAGATTATCGTCCTGGCTCAGCATATGACCCAGTACCACGGTTTATTTGCGCTCTCCCTGACTTTCATTATTTTCAACTCTGTTTTCTTCTGCTTGCTGGCCCTTCAATCTCTAAGCAAATGGATCATGGCCATCCCACGATCCTGGTTTCCTAGTGGACTAGATGAAGGCGATAAGGTCACCCTCAATGAGCCCACCCACTCGGAATGGATAATCGACAAACTGGTCAACACACCCTATCAATGCAAATTACGGTCTGCCGACTCATACGCATGTGTTCTATTCAATTGAGGGACAAGAGGCTTTTATGCGCGTTTACGCCCAAGTTCCACACAACGGTTATGAGCATGCTGACCAGGCTAACCCCAGCCCGGAAGCAATCGAATTCACACCCCCGGCTGGACATATATACTGAAAAAGGCTCGCAAAATACGACTCGACTATTGGCATACAACAAAGGGCGTCAAGATAGCTCAGTGGTAGTTCCTAGACGGCATATTACATGAATTGTATGGGAAAACACCTGGGAGATTTCAAATCCGCCTTTGTGTTTTGGGATATTCACAGTGAGCAACGGGACCGTGTTCGTGAGGTCTTCCTTCAAGAGTTTCCGTGAGTCGAATATCTTTCAACTACTAAGAGGAATGCTAATACAGAATCATTACTATTAGTACGGCGAAGAAAATGGGGTATTTCCCTGAGGCCACTAAGCCTCGTAATCTAGTCTGGGATGAGGAAGCTGGTGCCCTAGATGCCGCTTATCATTCTTATAATCCTGGGAGTTCGACTGATGTATTGCTATAGCTTTTTTGTTTCTTTCCGGGATGCAACGCCTTTTAAGGCTAGAGATACTTTCGGTGAAGAGTAGTTTCCACGTTTTGATCTTGCTAGACCCCCTCGAGAGACATTTCAGATCGGACAGAGATTACAATGATCATATCTCGGAATGGCACCTCTGACCATTGCTTCAAACAATAGAGAACCGTTCCTTTTGATTATCTTGACTCATTACTACCAGACCTCCGGGAGAGAGGAGAGTCATCCCTCATTATGTGGTCGGTCCGTAAAATCATAGGCCTAGGTGCCGACACACTAGGCGCCTACAAGTCGTACATTTGGAACCACCTGAAGCTACGAAGGTAGATTCTCTACGGAATGCTCTCTGGGTTAGGAGGGAATGTCATTGGAGTTCGGGGGATGAGATCTAGCGCCAGGTAGGATGATAGTACCAACAGCAGAATTCACCCATGGATGGTGCATCTAAAAACGATAGGCTATTTCCTACCATGCTCACATTGCCTCTTTAGTTTTTGTTGAAGGGCGTCTGCCTACCTACAAGTAGTCATTATCAAATCTCACTTTGGGTTTGCTTTCCATATAACAGCCTTCATATACCTACGTAGATTTAAGGGCATACAAGTATTAAAGGCGCGGTGCGTGGTTATTTCTGCTACGCAAGCATTGGTTGCATAGGAGAGTGAGGTCAAGATTAGTCTTTCCTCAAGGTGACAGTCGATCTCACTCCTTCCTCGGGAAGCTGCGCTTTCTCGTAGCAATTGCTATTTAGGATTCTCCCTACCGGTCCTCTCTTCTCCTTTCCTTAATATTTTCACTTCAGAAGACACTACGAGCCTCATTCATGTGGCTGTCTACCATATCGAAGATGCGGAAGACTCTTCATACTCCTCCCTCTTCCTTCAATCTCTTCTTCCTAACCATCTTTCCTTATCGTCACATGGGTCAATGTCCCCCTTGAAGATGGGGGTCTATTGGCCGTGGATGGCGGATTTGGGTTCCCTTTCGACAGAAGCCATGGGTACGCCGCACAATTTTCATTTGTCGTGGATGAGTTTCCTCTGCAGAAACCAGGGATACCTTGCCATCGTATTCCCGTGTCTCACTTTAGAGTGAAAGGAGATTCAGGTACCTCAGGTGCACGCATTCAAAACCGGAAAAATCCAGCCCCTATGTGCTCCGTCACTTCGCCTCCTCTCACCCCAGGCGAGGGGCGAAGAATAAATCCGAAGACCTTTGACGGTATTGTTCGAGTTCTCTCAGTGACGATCACAAGAAATGTCGCGACTATCTCTGGTCATTGGACTCTCATAAAGTACGGGCACATCTTCACCTACTCTCACTTGGTAAAGTCCGTTGGTATTGAAGATATCACTAAAGACCAACGGAACGAGGTGTCCCATTGGCTACAAAATTCATTCAATAGTGCGGCCGAAAGCACAAGACATCAGGTGGAAGGCAGCTTGAACAGGAGCTGCAAAGCGCAAGAGAAATGATCAAAAGGACTGAAAGCACGCCATGATCAAGCACCCGCCCAATAACGTACCAATGGAGACCGCCACCTATGGTTCCTGCTGCACACTTTTTCGGCTATATCCATGGACAAGGGACCATGGATGCAATTTTTTGGAAAGGGGGCGACATCTTTTGCCCAGGCAATGAACTCCTTGTGAGTCTAGTGTCCTACGATGAAGCAATATCCCTCAAAAAGATCGAAATCCTACGGACAATTGCGATTACAAGATAAGACCGGATTTCAGGACCATTTGAACGAACACCTTGGCCGACTAGTGACTGCATCGTTGAAGAGGTCCTCTCCACTCGCTGATAAACTCTCCTCCTCTTTCTATCTAGGTTTACCATAACCATGGCCATCTCACCGCGAGCCAAAAAAGAACAGAAACAGAAAAGAGAAGAAGCGTCAGGCACGCCGGGTAAGCGAACCCTCGACAAACCATGTGAACCTCGGGAGTTGACTGAGCATTACTAACATCTGGAATAGGCTGCTGAAGCTGGTTAAGCAAACGGGGGTCGCGGCGGTACCAGAAACTTCGGCAAAGAAAAACAGCGTATACTCGGGTTCTGGCGGCTTTCAATGCTCCTATCCAGCGAGGGTATCTCAATCTATTAGAAGGGTTGTCCATAATCTTGCTAGGGACTCTGGAGAAGCCGAGGTTCTCTCATCAGTCTGTCAGACCCTGCATTTGGTCCCTTATTGAGGATATCTGAGAGAGGATTGGTATTCCTTGGGGGAAAGACATTTTGGGCTTGAACTTCCCCTTCCCTTTGGTGCAAGGGTTCCTCAATGCGCCCCCCGCTACCCGCTCCCAACCAACCCCCTCTCGTAATTAGAAAGGTATCCGCTTTTCTCTTTGTTGGACTAACTCCCCTTCTTGTCCTGCCGAAAGTCACTCCTGTTCATTTTGACCCAAATTCTTCCTATCCAGCGAGGGATTGCCTGCTTATGGTTGGGTGAGATCCAGTGCAAAGGGACACCGCCACAGAAATCCACTTCTATGTCGGCCTTGGTGGCCCAAAAGTATGCCTGGTGCTCATGCAGGTCAAAATCTGGACTTCAACACTGTATGATGATTGTCGTCCACCATCACTAGGAACATGAAAATCTTCCATGTTTTCGCCTCTTGTTCAATTCAATCGTATTCGCACATCATATCCGTGACCGTACTCGGTTCTTGTGGATAGTCACTGCCCCCCACAACGGCCGTGACTACACAGTGTTGGGGCAAGTAGCGATCCGCCGTGACTTCGAAGGCTTCGAGAATACCCTAAGAACGAAGCAATGAGAGACTAGCCGGCTCTGGATCGATTGCTCGAATCATCCTTTCCAGGGCTTCCCGCAGCACGTGGGGAGGATGTGCAAACACCAGACGAAACCATCCTGCGTCTTCTGCTGCATAAGCCGTTCCTGATGCGATGTACACCTTTTCTTGTCGGAGCTGAGCCACAATGTCGGCGTCCGTCGCGCCTCGGTGTTTCACCTTGGCACCCAAATTGATCCAGACGAAGAAGGCAGCATTGCACTCAAAATAGGGGATATCGTGGGCGCGGAGAAAAGTGGTTACGAGATCATAGCTCTCTGCCAACAGACGCCGATTGGTCGAGGCATATTGCTCGGTGAACGTTTCATCGAGTAAGAGAGACGACGCTATTTGGTCGGCAACGCTGGATGGGAAATTATAAAGACTGAGATGAAAACAAGGTGGTCAGCACCCTTATCCAATGGTAGCCGGGGACCAGATCTTACGAAATGCCTTCCGCAGCTTGCAAGAGCAGCCTGTTGGATGGACTAATCAAGCAACCAATCCGTAAACCCGGGACACCAAAGTCCTACATGACGCAGTCAGTATTTCTCCCAGGGCAATGGAATGGGGCTTTCTACTTTACTCAATCCCCAAACAACGTGCAACATGCTTGGATCCATAAAACCCTTGACATTCAGGGATAAGACCGATTTGAAACCTGGTGCGTCAGGTAGGCGAGGGTTCTCCCAGGTGGACAGTGCGTAGATTTCATCACAGACCAAATGGAGCCCATTCACTGCACTGAACGCCATATATTCCTGCAGGACATCTTCAGGGTAGCAGCGACCTACGGAAAAGTCCTCAATAAGCATTGCGCTTCCACGTGAGAGAGGCACTGGGACTTACCGAGGGGATTGTGTGGCGAACATAACAAAAGGGCTTTAATGCAGAGACCCCGGCTTTTCGCTTCGGCGTATGCTCTCTCGTACTGTTTGACTGCAGCCATGCTGAATGGGTCTGTTTTTGCGAATGTGACCTCAACCAAGTTAATCCTGCTTAACCATCAGTCCCGTCTGGCGAGCGAGATTAGAGTGACCTTTCTTACCCGGGCCGTGTTCCAAAAGTTGTCTTGAAGGCATTAAAGTATGGTCGCCCGACGAGAATACAGTCACCAGGGTCGGCCAACGCCCAGGCACAGCACTCAAGTGCATTGCTGACACCAGAGGTAATGACCAAGTCGGAGGGGCCGAGCGCAGTCCAAGGGCGAAAAGAACGGTTCAAGAACTGGCTGACGGCGTTTTTGAGCTGATGCGAGCCGCTGAAGCCATCACCGTATGTCAACGCATGTGCGTCAACTTTAATCTGCCGAACATTTAAGAGGAAGTCGTTTTGTAAGCGATATCATGAATTGTTATTACCTTGGAGTTCACAAAATCTTGCATCTCCCCTTGCATGAGGGTCTAGACTCAGATTAATGACGCATGCAACTGAGAGTAACTATGTATTCCTGCTTACATTTTCAGCCAAACCCAGATTGATAACGCCATTGGGATTGGACTGCGGATCCCACGAATCACTCAAGACATCAAGGAAAGTTGGTTTTTGTGCTACAAATTTTCTTCCTCGTGCCGAAACGGTCTCCATGTTGGACTTTCAGAACCTTGCAAGTGCTTGTGTCCATGTCTCTTCCTCCTTTAAATGAAATAGGGTGGGTGTCATGTTCTGGGAAGGCGCACGGATATTGCGGCAACCGGCGGGTAAAACGTATATTGCGGGATCGTGGCGATTTTGTCTCTAATTTGACATTTTTGTATAGTATTTTCGGCTTTTCCGCTCGAAACATTAACCTGCAAATTCATTACACATGATGGCTGATGTCGGTCTACCTCCCATCCAATTCAGCTATGGTGGAGATGACATTTCCGACTCTGAGCGCAATGCCCTGGTCGATATTCAGCCAAAAGGCTTTTTCATACGTCCACCCCCGGAACCCCATGAGCTATGCGAGGACCTTACGTCTGACGCCGATCTCTTCCAAACAATCCATATGGGGACAGCGGTGGTGGACGCGAGTCGCTGGAAACTCGTCCTGAATGGGCTCGTCGAGCGCCCTTTCTCTATCAATCTTACGCAACTCCGACAGATGCCGTTCAAGTCAGTCACCTCCTTCCACGAGTGTTACGGCAGTCCACTCACCCCTCCAACGAAAAATGTTTGGAGAATCGGCAACGTGACTTGGACGGGGGTCCCGCTACTGTATCTCCTCTCCATTGCTCGGCCACACCCTAGGCTTGGGTTATTTGTTTGGTCCGATGGGTTAGACTCGGGGATATTTGCTGGCGTCTCCGCGGACCGATACCAAAAAGATCTGCCCATCGAGAAAGCCCTTACCCCGGAGGTTCTCGTGGCTTACGAGATGAACGGCCAGCCGTTGAATAAGAAGCGCGGCGGTCCGGTAAGACTCGTTGTACCAGGATGGTTTGGAACCAATTCTACCAAGTGGTTGTCTCGCTTGTCTGTGCAGGAAACTAGAGCCCAGGGAGTTTTTACCACCACCTTTTATAATGAGCTTGATCCGATAAGTTTGGAGGGAGTCCGAACTAGGGCAGTATGGGAGGTTCAGCCCAACTCGATGATTGTGCGGCCTCGTCCACAGGAAATATTTCGCTGTAGTTCTTATATTGAGGGATGGGGCCGTGCATGGGGGGCAGATGAGATTGTGCAGGTGGAAATCAGGTTGGATAACGGAGATAGTTGGAGTGAGGCGAGTGTGGCACGCCGGAGGCAGTTTGAGTGGCAATTGTTTAGCTTTCGAGTCCTTATTCCGCAAGCGGGCAGCTATTACATCCAGGCCCGAGCAACTGATCGACGAGGGGCGCGACAACCGCTGATGGGGAGTCGAAATCATGTGCCAACAGTGCAAATCCTTGCGCAATCGTGCCCGCCAACTGCAGATACTGGCGAAGAAGTGACTTGAGATTCCTTTATAGACATCACAGACAGGAAACTACTTTTCCCACGTAGCAAATGTTCATATTGTTAACTGAACGCGTAAGAATAGCTGGAGCTGGCTGGTCCTGACAGGTGATTTTCATACCTAACGGACTGGGAGATCTTTTGTCGCAGGACACGGATATTGTTAGCCAATGGATCTTTTGTGCTGCGAGTCTGTATATTCCTAGTATACTCCTGAAGGTACCTAAAGAGTCAATCCAATCATATTGTAGTGTTGTCGTTTACTCTGTTAGATAACTCCAGAGGAAGATAAAAGGCAGGTATGCAAGTTGCATAAACAACATCATGATTAACTGTAATATGTACTTTTGTATATTCTTCGTACCATTGATTTTCTGGGTATTATACCCTGTCTCAACCGTCTATGGATATATTCGACCTTGGTATTCCCTGCAGCACCCCCTCTCCTGCTTAGAAAAGCGTCCGCTTTGCTCTTCGTTGGACTATCTCCACCCTCGTACACCCTCCGTTCTTGTCCCGCCGAAAGCCACTTCCCTGCCTCATTTTGACCCAAATTCTCCTTTTCTTTTCTCGGCTCTAAATGTCACGACATGCATATGCAATTCGCAGAAATGGCTCCTGCCCGAGCTAGGAGACGCCATACGGTATCACATAGCGTAATTGGGGTCTATACTGTCCTAGGGACACAGAGTGTGCAGATAATGCTGCGAAAAATATACAATATAATCCAGCAAACATGTACGGGCCTCTAGAGAGTTTGTGTTCAAATTCGACCTAGGATCTCTATAAGGCGAATACATCCTTCTACTACGAAACGGGCCAAATAGGCTTCACGAGTACGGAACCTTATTTTAAGGGTCACTATGGCTGCGTTACAAATGATATATTTGATAGCAAGGTCATGCGTTCCTTGAACATCGACACTATAAGAATATTTCGTACACCAAGATTGATTCAACTTCTTAAACTCTCTAGTGCCCCTACTTTCCTAGGGCATTTTACTAATATAATCTATACATAGTATTAACCAAAAAATCAGCCATTTCGTCACATATATCAACTACTACCCCCTCAGTAACAACAAGTTCCTCACCAGCGCCCACAGTGCTGACCACAGAAAATCGAACCAAAACCGGAGGAATTGCCGATGGAGTGGTTGGTGGTGTTTGTGGCATCGCTCTTGTTGCAAGCCTTCTTTGGCTTTTCCTCTGTCGCCGGTCTAAGCTATCTAAAACTGGGAAGAAAGGCCCTTTGGGCACAGGATCAGCCCAGATTGTAGACTCTTGGCCTTTTACTGTCACGAACCCCGTGTCAGAACTTGCACCGGATAAGCAGCCGTATGAGTTGATAGGCAGCAATAAATTGCGTTCTGAACTACGTGCGCATGATCGACCAAGGTTTGAGTTATGTGCAGACCACCACCCTCCGGCGGAACATTCTTAGCGGTCTTGTCGCAGTTGGGAAGTCATATCCCATTCTCTTGCTATCTCCATTCTCAACTGTGCTACAAGCGTAGTCGAACAGTTGATATTTGTCTAATCTGGCAGAAATTTGTTGATCAGCCTGTGTTGAAGGCGCCATTGCCAATACTTTCGGAAATCATCAAGACTTAATTCATCAATGTACCTCGCGGCCTTTTCTAGTATCTTTCTTTTTGTTGGTTCTTGTTGTCCGCCAATACCTGTTTCGGCTTATCCAGTCGAGCGTCTGGCTCGTTGAGCGTTCGTTTAGTAACCGATGGCCTTCCCCTACCCGAGGTAGTTTTGGAGAGACGGCGGTCGTCCTCAACATATTTAAATGTAATACTTAGCCTCAGTTTCTTGCCTCGAAGAAATGGTTCGCCCACTTTAGCAGCTGCTTTCTAAAGGCATTCTATTCGATATCGAGATAATTAAACCGCTTTATTAGGTCGCGTTAGGAGCGGTCACTTACTAACATAGCAATCGAGGCGTTGCCCGACCTTACCCTCATTTCATAGTTTCAAGGCAATTTCTGGGGCTTATATACCATCTTACTACAACTAGGAGTCTTTTTTTGATTTCTTTTTAATATCCTTTAAAATGATCTTCGAAGTGGCTTTTTACATGTCTTTTTACATGTCTTCTTAGGTGTCTATAAATGTCTGTTCAGAATAATCAGCCACAAAATATATTTCGCACGACAAATCACAGTATATAATGTGTCACTTTATACTAATTATTATACCGTAATAACCCAGAAAGTCATGTAGATAGCCAATTTTCTGCTGGTAATAAAAGCCAATAGGACCAAAGTACCCAATTGTACTGCGCTAGCACATGTACTATTCCCCGCCCTAAGTGTCTTGGAATGTTTGGTAAGTTTCAATGTCAGCACCGGACCAATCTCCCACTCTCTTCCACTCACCTGGGTAGTACTCCCCATGAATCAAGGGGAGGAATATTAGGCATGTCGCACTCGTTAAGCTCGGCCCCACGCTTGAAGCCCGACGTTCGCCTCGCACAAGCTGTGTCACAGTTCGAGGCCGAACTGTCCAATGAGCAAAAAGCAAATTTCCGTGCCTGGAGAACTAAGTCAATTGAATCTCCCCCTGGTATTCAAGATGTCATGCAGCTTACCGCCGAGATTGATCGAGTCTCTGAGAAGCGACGCCGCTGCTTGGGACCGCGGCTTATGAACATCCTACAAGCTACTCAGCAATTCGCTGCTTTAGGAGATGTGGTAGTCGGTGGATCTCAGAATCTGCTAGCATGTGGTGTCTGGTCGATAGTACGAATGTCGCTTCTACTTGTCCTCGACTTTTCCTCCTATCTTGAGCAATTATCGAAGATATTCATGACCGCTGGACGTCTTGCCCCTCGGTATGAGAAGATGGCTTTGCTTTATCCTCGGTCAAAGGATTTACAATCTTGTCTTTGTGAATATTTTATTTTGATCGTGCGCCTTTGCCACGAAATGACTACTTTTACACGCAAGTCAATTTTCGGGAAGTTGACATCAGCGCTTGGTGACTCAGACCTAAAGGCATATCAATCAGAGCTGGAGTCCTGGGGAAAGACAATCAAAGCCGAAGTCACCTTCTTGGTGGCCAAGGGAATCGAGGACGAAGCTGAAAACAATTCGCGATTCAGAACAGTCTCATCGATTTTCCAGAAATCAACTGCGTATCAGCAAGCGATTCAAACGAAACAGCGAGTACTTGATTTCTGCTCCCAGTACGATTGCACAGTGTCGTGGAAGCAGGCTCGAAAATCAGGCAACACTAATCTGTTCCGGGAGAGCCCCAAATATCAAAATTGGAAGAGTATGTCACTTTCTTCCACTCTTGTCTACACTGGGAAGTTGGGCTCCGGGAAGTCTGTGCTACTCGCCAATATAGTGGACGATCTCCACATCCAGAATGAAATGAACCATGTGGCATATTTCTTTTGCCGACATGATGTGTCTGAGAGTCTCAAAGCGCGGGAAGTTATTGGCTCCTTGGCTCGTCAGTTGTTATACCCCATGTCAGACTTCACGGCTGCTGCGGGATACTTGGACAGGACACATCAGTGTGAACCGATGGAAAGACTTATGGGACTTCTCTCAAGCAGTCTTACTCCTCTGCGTAAAACAACAAGGTTCTTCCTCGTTGTCGATGGGCTGGACGAGCTCGACGTGCATCAAAGAGACATCGTAATCCAGCAGCTATCAGACCTTCAAAGTGAAACTTTCGCAATGTTACTGTGCATTTCTCTTCGTGAAGATCCAAACGAGAGCCCACTCAAAACTAACTTCGCACGACTTGCTGCACCGGTTGTTACGGCAATTCCAAACAATACACCCGACATCGAGGATTTCATCGAAACAGAATTGGAGAATCGAATCGAATCTGGACAGCTCACGATTGGCAGTCCTCTTCTAATCCTCGAAATTCAAGATGCTCTCTTGAAAGGATCACAAGGGATGTTCCTTTGGGTAGCTCTCCAAATCGAATCTTTATGCACAATGGAAAGCGACGAGGAGATCCGTCAAGCTCTTGCAGACCTACCGAAAGATCTCTCAGAGACATTCTCTCGCACTTTACGATCAAAATCCCAAAATACACGCCAAAAGGAGATATTGGCCATTCTGACTGTGGCCCAAAGCCCACTCACTCTCCAGCAACTGCGCGAGGCGCTATGTGTTGTGCCGGGTGATTTGGACTGGAATCCGGATAGGCTTCTCAACAATATGCACAATACCCTGGCTTCTTGTGGCAGCCTTGTCGCCATTGATGAGGAGGAGCTTACTATACATCTTGTTCATCACAGTGTGAAACAGTTCCTCCTCGGTGAATTCAAAGATTCGACCGAAACGCTAGTCAACGTTGATGACGCTCATCAAATGATGGCAAGCATCATTCTCACCTACCTCAACTACAGCGTGTTTGAAACTCAAGTTTCAAAGACCGTAATACCTCAGCTGCGAACTGGGTCTGTACCCTCCGAGGTGATCCTCTCAACATTCAAACCATCAACTGGTGTCCGGAACATGGCAATCAGACTCCTCAGATCCCGAAAAAGGGCCGGTTTTGATATTGGAAAAGTCATCGCAGAGACGAAGCTCCAGAACCATTCTACAGAGGAGCAGTTCTACTTCCACAAATATGCAGTATCATTCTGGCTATATCATGTCGTGCATGCCTTTGACCTCCCCGAAGTCATACACAAGTTACTACTCAGACTCTTGGATCGAAGGTTATCCTTGAGTCTCAACATAACCGACGAAGATATCGACAAAGTATTGTCGTGGTCCGCAAAAAAGAAACAATATGCATCCTTGATCAAGATTTTGCTTGATCCCGAGAACATGACATCAACAGAACGAGACGTGTCACTGGATGCACTGCATATCGCTGCGGGCGAAGGACACGGCGCAATGATTAAGGTCCTCTTAGAGCGCGCAAAGATGTATGACATGATGATGTTCGAGGGTTCGCACCCGCAGCGACTACATCTATCCGCTCAAAACGGCCTTGCTCCCTCACTTGATCGTGACATG